CCTGTCTGCTATGTAGCCAATGTTGACAGAGCCAATAAAGAACCCAGCATTCACAGATGACTGAAAGAGGTCCAGCTTCCAGGAGTCCTCACACACCAGGTTAAACTGAAGAAGCAACCACAGTTACAACTAAAACAGTAGAACCAGGAGCTTGCTCACACCCACAACCTCCTTCGCTTCATGTGAAGATGTAAACATGTTTCTGGGCCAATGTTCATCTTATTGGCACCCAGGATATTCATTAAGTGTCCAAGACCAGAAACAAGATCAAGCTCTTGGGCAGTATAAACTTTTTCCTGATGCTCTACAAGGGCAAAGATGAGGCTTTTCTTCTGTCTGTATTTTTTTTTTTTACCTTTGAGCAAAGTGACGTGCTTTACTCTGTGCTACCCTCTCTTTTGCTTGGCTAGCAGGCAGTACATAAGGAGCTTTAACAGAACCAGTCACAGTCAAAAACAAGGTACATTGCTAAAATGCAGCCAGAGGCATGTGGCATATCAGATATCTTGTGGTGACGGAAGTGGCTCGAGGGGTCACTGCACCACCTTTCAAAAAAGAAAAAGGGGAAACAGCTTTAGTCTGAGAGGACTGCATAAATCCACACAGTCTGCGAGTTCTTTGGTGCCAGCTAATCTCAAGAGCCATCTGGAAATGGACAATCTCAGGAGATGACAGTGGGGCCATCCAGAGCACGCTCACTCAGGTCTTTGCAATAAAGATGCATTTGTTGCAGTACTTCTTAAAGTCATTGAATTGTTTGGGTTAGAGAGGACCTTGAAGATCATCTAGTCTCAACTCCCTGCCATGAGCAGGGCTGCCACTGACTAGATCAGGCTGCACAGGGCTCCATTGAATCTGGAGCTTGGATGCTTTCAGAGCTGGGACATCCACAGCTACTCTGGGCAGCCTGCACTAGGACCTAACCACCCTCTCATTTTAAAGCTTCCCTCTGACATCGCATCTAAATCTCTCCTCTTTTAATTTAAAAACAATTCTCCCTTGTCCTATCACCATCTTTAGAGGATGATGGCAAGACCTTGTTGCTCTCTACAATTACATAAAGGGAGGTTGCAGTGAGGTGGGGAACCTGCTTCTTCTCTCACATAACTAGCAATAAGACTAAAGGAAATGGCCTCATGTTGCACCAGAGGAGATTCAGGTGGGACATTATGAAAAACTTCTCAAACAGAGTGGTCATGCACTGGCATGAGCTGCCCAGGGAGATGGTGGAGTCACCATCCCTGGAAGTGTTCAAGGAACATTTAGATGTTGTATTAAAGGACATGGTTCAGCAGAGAAATATTGGTGGCAGGAGAGTGGTGGAAAAGATCTCCAAGATCATCCAATTCAAACAGTAGAATCAACCTGAAAAAACTGTTGGCTCATCTCCTCACCTTGATGTCACACAGCCCATACTCTGTGGCAAGAAATGGACTTAGAGCACACCCTGTATCACAGGACTACAGATGCTGACATCACCTGAACACAGAATGGACCTTCCCTTGCATTTATGCTAGAAAGTTCCATAAAGGTTTTAAGAGATCACACGAGTCAGTTTTTTACCCACAAAAATATAATATGAAATCAGATTTCTCATCCCTGATGACTTTTATCATACCAAATATTTTAAAACCTGAAGTAGTTTAAGTAGCTTCAGTATCTTTTTTGTTTACTCTCATGTTCTGAGAATGCAAAAAAGTCATAGCTTTTCGGCCGTTTATTCCTGTTTAACGGTGAGAGGCACTTTTCCCCACCCACAGTTGTTCAATCGTATCCAAAACTAAAAAGCAAACGAGACTTTCACATCTGAGTGTGGATCACAGAAGGCATGCGTAGTTTCTGAAAGGCACCTGCTGAGATCAGCCACTTTTGTTGGAGTATTGCAGGCTCTTGATTTCTTACACAGGTTGTTTACACACTTCCACCAATAGGATTTCATGTGGGATGGGAGTTTCATTAAAGGGGACTTTATCTACCTGGGGGTTTATTTGCTCCTCAGCTGGAGATACCTTCTGAGCACACCAGCACAATACTTCACAGCAGGGACACAGCAAAGAGGATTTGCAGAGCATTCAGACTAAGTCCACAAAGAGAGAAGATCCTCTCTTACAGGTAAGCACCCGTCTCTCTAACACAGCTTGGACTACATCAACCACCTCCAGCACCCCTCAGCTTATCAGAAACAACACCACAAGAGAAGACAGACACATGCTTTTACCTCAGTCACTATGGAGGTCCCAGGGTAGTCGTAGACCCAGCCATCTTGGCAGGAGCCAAGTGGGACAGAGCTCCGGTTGCCCACAAGGCTGCCAAGGGGGTCGGTGCAGCTGACACCCGTTGCATTCCAGTCCACCTCATACCTGCTGCAACGGCTGCTGTAGGCGGCCCCATGGCTGCCCCACTCGGGAACGGTGTGGTTCAGCTGCTCCGCCGGGCTCCAGCCACAGCGCTGGCTCAGCTCCGCCACGCCAGGGCTGAAGCAGCGGTGCTCGGGGGTGAACCCAAAGAAGACGACGCCCACATAGACTGGAGTGAAGGCAGCAGAAAGCAGACACAGGATGAAGAAGGTTTGTTTCTGGAACCTGTCAAATTCTCCGATGTGCTCTAAAATGTCATCCAGAGTTGGCATTTTGGCATCAAAACCACCTCAAATCCTTATCACTCTGGTCTGCAACACTGACACATTCAGTTGGCAGCAAAGCTATTTAAGTAACAAAACATTTGACCAAAAGTCAAGATTAACTCCATAAATTATTAAACTACATGTTGCAAGATTTTTTTTTAAGGTTTCATTTGAAATCAGACCTTAATTCACCCAGGCAGAACTTGCATTTAACCCCTACTCCAAGCACATATGTTCCTTACCTCTCACAAAACATAAATAAACAGTGCTGTGTTGTTCTGCTGTATTCTTTTTTGATGTTGTTGATGCTGTATGTTTGCAAGTTAGCTATTACTAACTTTCAAACATTAGCTGTTTGAATTAATCTTTATTGATGACTTCCTCCTAATACAATGGTTAGAAAGCTGTTCTTGCAGAAGGGTAGGAAAAGCACCAGTTCTTCCCATTGTGCATTGCCCACAGGCCCCCCAGAGCATGCACTGCCTAGTATGAAACCTGCTCTGTGGACCAGCACTTTGCACACAGCTCTTCCTGTCTTCAGGCAGATCCACTGGAGCCAGATAACCAGACCTTTGCTCCTGCAGCCACCTAAAGCAGCATTACTCCAAGGCCAGCACAACATTGCCCACAGCTACTTCCAACCACTGGCAGATGTCACCTCCTCAGCTGCTGTGCTCCAGCATGGAGACAGAGGGATGGGTGTGCAACACCCACCATACTGTGACAGGAGGTATGTCTGCAGACAGTGTGGCCAAGCAAACAGAAATCAAAGCCTGCCTGGAAATTGGGTGAAGTTGGAATCTGTTGGTGAAAGCTGTCGGACTGTTCCTAAAAACACTGCAGCAGCAGATGAGAGGCATCCTTCTGAAGGAGCAGCACTGCTGTCACCTAACACACAGTCATTAGCACCTAAGACTTGTTTGTACTCCTCTGGTTCCCAGTATTTCCATAGCACTTCCTTCCTTACATCTGAACAGCATATTCTGCTGGAAAAACAGGTTGGTGAAACAAGTCACTCATCTAGCAATGAGCATAACAGTTGGTCTACCTACAGTGCTTAGATAGCAAGCAAAAGTCCCAATACCGAACACCTCAGTCAGTGCTGTCAGCTGTTTATTACTAGAAAGTCTTATTGTTATACTTCACCTGGAGATGCTTATCTGAGCAGTACCTGTTCTGCATAAGCTTTATTATGCACAGTCAAAATAAAGCAACTATATGGTGTCATATACTAAGCCATTTCATGCAGCAGTTTACAGATCAAACAACTCAAACCTTGAGTATTTGGGAAGAAGCAACATTCTTCAACACCTACTGAGGCAACACCTTCAATGATAATTGACAGCATTAAAAACACATTGTCAAGCTTCTCATACCCCCAGAGTAACATAACGCTAATTATGAAAAAGACTACTTCTGTTTTAACAATGATAAGATGAAGCGATAGACAAATTCTTTTAGAGACTTCTCTGGTAACAGTGCAGGAGGAAAAATATCCTCAGTCTGAGAAAGCCAGAGTAGTGAGACTTACCTATATATACACATACATACACATACCCATTCTGATCTTTGATACAACTTCATTTCTCATTTTGAGTGATGGGATTATTAGCTGTGCCAACAGAGAAGGACATAAATCAGCTAGTTGATGAGCAGTATTAGACTAGCATAAGAAAGATTCCAGACTTGAGATGTGGGATTTGGAATACCCACGTCATATCTTTTATTGAAATTGCTAAATACTTTATATTACACTATTTTGATTCAAAATGGAGTTTTTATAAAAAGAAACCATTGTTGAAACTGAATAAGCCTGCCAAAATAAACAATGAAGAGTTTCAAAAAATTCTAAAAAATACATAATTGTAGAATTTTTTGAAGCCTTAACATTGCCCATAAATTAAACACACACCTGGAGAAGAGCAAAACTGCTAGAGGAAATCTGACTTCCATTCATTGCCAGCAACAGTGCAAATCAATGACCACAGCCAGGAACTCTGTGTAAGAGCCTGAACTTAGGCTTTCAGAAACAGTAGCCCAATGTTTTTTTCATAATGAATAACAGAGAGGCATTGTACAGATTAGGATTCCTCTAGTTGTTGAGGTTTTCCTTCACAATGACAAACTGGGATGTATCAGGTTGTATTCTAGGAATTCTGCTTCTGTGGCCCTGAACACTGATTCTCTGTAGTCACTCTAATCTAGTCATAATCTAGAGGAAAAAAAGGTCTTTGGATGCTTGTCAGCTGCTTAGGCAAATACTGATGAAGTCAGTCATATGACCAGTACCAAGAAAACATCATGCAAAGAACAGCAATCATCTCAGGCTAAAGCTATACAGAATTGTACCTTTCAGTCAATACCTTTGAACCAATGATCTGTTTAAATTAGAATGTATATTCAAATTTACAGGATAAATTAGACCAGTTCTAAAATTTACATCAAATCATCCCAACACAGAAAAGTTATATTTTTCCTCATCTTACAATGGATGAACCCATTGAAGGGTGAACCCATAGAATAATACCCTGCCGGCAGGAAGAACACGTTGCTATAAGCAAACCTGAGTAGTGAGGACCAATAAATACAAGGAGTTAAAATGCTAGTAGTCATCTAGATAATTTGAATCTCAGGAGCCAGGGGCCTAATTCAGCTTTAATCTTGACCTTTGAAAGGTTTCTTTTTTAAGCAAGTATTTCATATCTATACTGAGACTTAAAGTTGTCCTGGCTAGAGAGAGTCAACATAACTCAGCCTACCAGATGCTACAAATCCAGCCATTACTGAACAGATCATTGTAAACAACAACCAAGACATCTTTCTCTCCTTCCCTTTTCAGTGGTTTCTTGTTAAAGGCAAAATTCAGAAAAACCTCTCAGGCTGAAGTCCTCGTATTTGGTTGAAAGTGTTTGTCCCATTTATATATAATCTCTCCATATATATTTGATTAGGCACAAGAGGGGTTATTAAACATTCAACAAGTCCTCATCACTATCATCATGAAATGATACTGAATTTGTAGAGTTCTGTGCCTGCTGTTGGCCAGGCTTGGCTTTTGCTTTCCTTTCCTTTCCCCCATTCAGCAAGTAAACTTTGTCATCACTGGCAAAGTTTGGTGGCTTCTTTTGTGGGTGCTTGCTTTTGTCTAGTCCTCTTCCTGTCTGAATCTTTACATCTGGGATGGTTAACACTTCATCCTCACTGTCCAGGTCATCCACATGGAGAGATGTAAAAGCATCAGATGTAACAGACTTGGTAGTAACATGACCATTCTCCTGCACTCCTTTTACTGTTCTTTGATTCGGTGCTGCAATTTCTTCCATAAGCCACTCCGTTTCATTCTCATTAGCTTCTTCTTCACTGTTTATCTAAAAGAAAAAAAAAAATGCAAGACTTAGTATACCACACCATATATTTCTACACACTAATCTCCCCAGTTATGGAACCCACCCCACATAACCTTGAGTTTAATTTAGATATAACAGCATATTCTTGCACAGTACTACTATTGCTTTTCACCATATCTAAAATATACCATCTCTTCCTGCAGATTTATATATTACTTGGCTATTTATGGACTGTTCATTTCCTCAACCCTTCCTTTCCCATTTCATTATATAAATGATATAAAAAGCTGTGACTTTCCAGAGTTTGTTTCCCATGCACCGAAGGAGCTAAGGATTAAATATTTTTACTTATTTATTAGAAAAGCTTCCCCTTAAAATTTTATTGACAAGATACAAAGCATTTGACTATGCCACTGTATTACCTTTGTGTATTTGTAGGAAACACCTGATGTCCTTCTGCAGCAGTTTGTTATCTTGTTTACCACAGTTTCCCTTAAAAAAAAAAAAGGAATATTGTATTAGGAAGGAATGTGTTCCCCTCATCAGCTTTTGCCTCTCTTCAGGTGATTCCTATCATCAACAAATCATTTTACCAAACAAGTTGCAAGCTATCTTGTTGTGACATTTGGCTCTAAACCACTGATTAGCACTATTCAGTTCATAATGCTGCACATCTTCCCCCCTACCACAGTGTCAAGGTGACTAAAACACCTGTAGTCTTTATTCTTACAGGAAGGAAATAAGAGAGAACCTTGTCTGGAAAGCAGAGAAACAGCATGACTTGTATCAAATACAGACAGTACTGTCACATTGTTTTAACCTCCCTTATTAGTAGCTGCCCACAGAGACTAGCTTAAATTATCTTTGTAGTCTATGCCTCTTTATATGGACCTTTAGATAATAACAGTTTGGAAAATATCTGTTTGACAGCTGATGATGCCAGCTGAAAAAACAGAACTTCAGTCTCTGGAAACCAAAGCCTATGAAAGACTTTCAAAGCTTCCCAATCACTTACCTCCTCTCTTTTTTGTAGAACAGCAAGATTATTAGGCATGCAGTGAGAACAACCAGGAGGACACTCAGCACAGCACCAACTGCCTGACTTCTCCTTGAAAGGCCTTTATATACTTGGGCTTCCTGATCAGATTGGCCCTCATGGATTCCTGGAGCAATGGTTGATCTAATAATATAAATATGGAAGAAAAAGACTAAGATCTACTGATGAATTATATCAGACAGAATTAGACACATCGTACCACCCTGTCAAAACTCTCCTAAAATCTGTTTATGAGCATGAAAAAAGGTATGTACTGTGTCTACATTCTGGTATGCTTTCAAACAGCACATAAAACTGAGATTACAGTTGAGACTTAAATATGATTAAACACTTTAGAGCTTAAACAGTAAAAGCTACTCACACAAAGTTGCTGTTTTGGAATCAAAGCTGTACCTGAGCAAGCTGCATAAGCTACAGCAACTATTTCCCTTCCACCTGATAGAGGCAATACATGGACCAGACAGTCTTCACAGATAATTCCTTGCTTAAACCAGAATGAACAATTTCCACTTTTTAAGACGGCAACCAGAAAGTGAACATCCCAGAATTATGCCATCACTTGCAGCAAAGCAGCCCAAGTGTCAAGAACACAGGTAAGCACTGAGACACATTGTTTGGCTTTTAAACTACTGCCAGACATTGTTACTCCCTTTTTTCTACAGATCCAAAAAGGATCAGTTCCATTGGAGAAACGCCTCATTTTCCAAGACCTGCAGTGATTTTCAGTCTGGCCTAAAGCAGATACAGTACTTTTTGCTTACTGGGAAGAAGAGTATTCAATCCCACCATACCTCTTCATTATTTTCAGTGCAAATAGGAAAGTGTTTTGTTTTTAAAATCTTCCTGCCAATTGCTGTGTTGAGACCAAAAAACCCCTAAGCTTAGAAGCGCTACATTCAGAAAAAAGTTAACTACTCACATTAGTGGACACACAGCAGACGTATACCATGTAAATAAATACTGACAGTCTGCTGTCTCATGAAGAAATTCAGGGATGCCTTCCTTTACATGAGGATTGCAGTGGAATAAAATTGATGAAGAGACAAACTTTGATTTATCTTTACCACATCTGGAGTCTGATGAAAATATGACATCCAAGTCATCATCTACAAGAAGAAAACATTACAGTTCAGTGCTCCCTTAAAAACAGTATTAAAGCCATACCCTGAAGAGTTGTGTCTGTATTCTCACGGGTGCTCGTTGTGCAGTATAAGCTTAAACTTTGCAGTACCTGAAGGTGAGCTTATACTTCTACATTACTATAGAACAGACTGAGCTGCTTACTGCAGCACAAGAGCAGAGGAAAATAGGAGACCCAGTCTTGTTGTACGTTATTTCTACTGGAGACTCACAACAAGCATCAAACCCAAATCTACTACTAAAGCTATTTGCAAATGAGATTACATAATAGGAAAAAGCAGCCTAAATCATAGAATGGTTTGAGTTGGAAGGGACCTCAAACATCACCTAGCTTCAACCCCCTACCATGGGCAGGGAAAGCTCTCACTAGATCAGGTTGCTCAAAGCCCATGCAACCTGGCCTTGACCACTTCTTCCAAGGACGAGACATCCTTAACTTCTTTGGGCAGTCTGTTTCAGAGCCTCACTACCTCCATAGCAAACAGCTTTTTCCTAATATCAAAATTACTCTTTCTTAAATAAATCCTGGAAGACAGATCCAGGACAACTTCACAGAAGTCATTTAGCTTATATATCATGAAACATGAATCACTTTTCAATGAAGTAATTCAAGTAGAGGATCAAAAAATTTCAGATAACAAGCAAGTACTTACCTTCAACATAATATTTAGCTTTTTTGGCCCATCCAATTTTCCGAAAACGGCGTTCACTAGTTTTAACCTGGCAGATGTTTGCTTCAGAACACTCTGGGAAACTCGAGTTTGTGATACCAGAAAGTTGTATTTCATACACATATTGATCTCCATTTGTTCTTATGTCACCAGAAGCCATGTACAACCTGAGGAGGCATAAGACAGGTATATGCCAAGTCTAAACATGCAAATTCTGGTTATTCCCAAGTCAATACACTAGCAGTAGTGGTAACTACTACCACTAGTTTAATACAGATTAACAATAGATTCAGCAACCAGAAAAGATGCAGGACTGAGGTCTCTGAGTATTACAACTGAGTATTATACTTAGCAGTAAGCCTTTCAGGAATGAGCCAAAAGCAAACTTTTCTAGTTATACTGTCCTCAATGGGTACATGAACACTTAAACTGAATACAAAAGTACTGTTCAGCAGCTCTTACACAAACTACCATACTGACCATATAATCCATTCTGAGTGCATTCTGTAGCTGTAATAAACAGTGTGGCTTAGCTTTCATGAACTAACAGCAAACCACCTTCTGCATGAGGAGAACTGGATCTACTATATGTGCTACCCAACTGCCATTTACAATCATATCCCTTCATGCTGCTGGTGAGACTGAGAATGCTCTCAAACTCAGAGCTATTTCTTCTAGACACCTGCTCAAAGGCTGAAATTTGTGAGATTAAAGTCAAGTTGAATTTCACATTACACCACATTTCTCATTTCATCCTGACTTCCTTTACTCCCTTTTCCAAGCAGGCTTGATTGTATTTGATAACATTACAAGCACAGAGGAACACTTTTGTTCAGTTGCACCAATCCTGCAGGCAGAGTTTATTCTTCCCATAACATTCATAGAAAGACTTCCTTTCATAATGACAGAATTGATGTTAAACATAGTAATTTATAAAAGTTTCTTATAAGAGTTTCTGAAGCAGAAAAAATGTGCATGTGTTGTGCCAGTGTAACTGCTGGTCTTTCTTTCCCTGCCTTGTCGAAGTTCAGTCAGACTTGACTATTCCTCCAGAGCTGTACTCCTCTAAGGTTTCTGAAGCAGGGGTTCCTGTTTCCATATAGATCTGCTGAGCAGGATGAAAGGCACTATATAAAGAGTGAAGGAGCACTGTAGCTGAAAATTAAGATCTGACGCTGATTTGATGACTATACATTTATGGAAAAGAGAAATAACCCCCCAAAGTGTTTTAAGGTCAAGATGACATATGTGCAGGCATTAGATTTGTCTTAATTTCCCTCGGATTTGCTCAAAGCTTTAAGCCCAGCTGTATGCTGCAGTAGCAACCAGACTTTTACGTCAGTCATAGTACAAGGCTGACAAAATTCAGTGCTATCGCCATTTAACAGCTAGGAATATTCAAGGCAAATCAGAACATCAAGCTTTCATTTTTTGCAGTAGAGTTCTACAGAACTATATTTTCAGTTTTTTTTTTTTTTTAAACTTACTTGTTATAAACATTCCCTAATGAGAAGTTTTTCCCAGTTGCAGGATTGATAACTGTTCCATCCACTACCTCCACCTCCTGTGGCTTTAAAGCACAAGCTGCACGTGTGTCCCAAATGATGTAGTAAGCACAGTTTTCCTCATCAATCCTGCCAAATAACAAACAGTTGATCATTCCAGGAAACAGTAACAAGCACTTACTATCTTGAGAGAAGACACACCTATTTGGTTCATGAGTGAGAATCTCCTGCATAAGCATCATGCAGACTGCAGTCACCTGACTGTACTTAAATTCCCTGCTTCAAAAGTTTTAAGTCACACACCGACTTCTTGATACTTAAACACCTTAGCTAGCAAACATGCCAGCTTGCTCTAAGCAGGTTTAATGCTTTGCACTTCATTTGTCCAGAACAAGAAATTAGATTTTGCTGCATGGTTCTCTGCCTCACGTGGAGCCTCTTGTTCAGTTCCCTTACTCTACAAGAAATATCCTGTCAACCAAAACCAGACAGCAAAATCCATCAAGCTTTCTTAGTACTTGCGACCATGCACATATACCTCAATTGAGATAATACCTAGTCAATAAAAACTATATTGATGTAATAGGAAAGGTTTAGTAAATAATGGAGCAAAACCATTTTTAATCAGTCTAGCTAAATAATCAAGCGAAGTACTGTCTGCTAAATAGCTTTGCAGTAAAGTTATAAGCAGCTGTACTACTACTGACAACAAAAGAGTATCTCAGCCTAATTCATAAGTAGAATACCTAGATTTTTGCCTAAGCAGTTAAAGATATACAGAATATAACTGTTTATGAAAGTGAACAGGCACAGAAACTTCAGAAGATTTATGCCTTACAAATATAGACTAAGATTACTGTAGGGGCTGTCCAACTGAACAGTCACAACCCTGAGACTCAGTTTATTAAAAAGTACAATAGACTAAAGCAGTCAGAAATATGCTGATTATTTACTCACCTCTGCAGCATGGGCATGCCAACTGTTTTTGCACACCTCAATTCTATTATTGTCATTATTTTCTTGTTTTTCCTACATTCCTGTCCACCAGAATAACTAATATACATTGTATCACCTAGAAAAGAAAGTGACATTCAAGGTTTTTGTAAGCAGCTGTCAAATTCCCTTTGTGCGTTCCCCATACTTCATTACTTTACATCACATTCTGGATCCCCCCCACCTCAAAGATCATATATCAATTACACCACTTGTGTGACTTAAGTCTTTCACACTGATGATTATTTAAAAATCACTCCTCAAACCCCTGTAGTCACAGTACCTTGGAGTTCAGGTTGCCAATACAAGTGTAACATTTATACTTAAGATGTCCTTTTTGACATCTTGAAAATAAATACATAGGTCACTATGAAAGTAATGCCTCATTTATTTCCATGGAAACTACAATAGATACAAGTTCTCACCTACAAAACACTTTTTCAGTGTAGTCACCAGCACTAGCTATACATTTTCACCGGCAATAAACAGGAGTCTGCATGCCATACGAATCTGCGCCTCTGTCACGTCACTAACATTCACCTCTGATATCATGAGCCAATATAATTAAATATAAGGGCCTTGCCCCAGCCCTCATCCAGGCAGCTGTTGAAGATCTCCAAGGAGGGAGAACCCCACAGCCTCTGGGCAACCAGATGAGCCAGTGCTCATCACCGTATCACAGGAAAGGAGAAAAAAAAGAAATCCTGATATTCAGACAATTCTCCTATTATAACTTTCATGACACTGTTTGTTTCACACTTTTTTCATGGTTTAAATGCCTCTTTGTTTTGTGTGACAGAATCTTTTGTTTTAAAACAGAAATAAACAGAAGACTTACTGACAAAAACATTTTGAAGATGAGTAGAACGCTGTATTTAACGACCTTTATGCCTAGGTTCTATGATATAGTTACCTCATAGCTCTCTACAGAAATAGGAATGTAGCACTCTACAATAACTGTACCTGTCACATTCAGCTTCTGTGTATGAACAAGCCCAAGAACTTCAACATCTCCACTGTTGCTTTTCCTACAAATACTGGCTCTTTCAGGGCAGCCTGTGGGGCCTTCATATACCCTCTGACAGAGATTCAAGTAGTACCTAAACAAAGGACATGATAGACAGAAACTTTAAAATTAATTTCAGCTAAACTGACAAAATGAAATATGAACTTTGTAGACTCCTTACAGGAAGCTAGCTATATTAAAAGACCAAATAATCAAAGTAGCTAAGGAATTGACCATATGCTAACAACTAGCAGATTATTCCCATCATTTTCAAGTAAACAGATTAGTATACTAGTTAGTTTTGACCTAGGTCAAAAACATTGAAATTGAGTAAATAAATATCTAACCTTTTCAGCTACAAAGCTTATAGTGTTCTCAATTTAAATTTCTTAGGAGCTATACCAGTTAAGATTTATTGTAACAAAAAATTTAGGAGCAAGACAGTAAATGAAACAGCTTTTCAACCCCATAGTTTACTATACTTTTAGAATTAGATGCTCTTATTCTTGCTGATTCATTTCTATTTGCTAACTGGAAAGGCTGACTGACAATTACATTTTCTTAAGTTGATACTGGTGAGATCTTTCTACCCTGCCTTTACATTTGAGAACAAGCCCTTCTTGAACTTTAAACAAAATATTACATGCTTGACTTAAGAGAGAACAACTGAATCAATAGGACTTTTTATCAACATAAGAATCAGAAAAATTGCATTTAAGCTGCATTCTGTCCTTTAAGCAGAAAGCCTCTAAGAAAACTTTTAGTTTAGATTTACTTCTCCTTTAAAGAGGAGTACAGAAGTACTGTGCCACATTATAACTTTAGCTGTACTGACCAGTAAGCTACTGCCCAAGAGTTGCTTGCTACTCACGAATTTCCATTGTGATAAAAGACCCATGAGCCTGTCAAGGAAGAGAGCATTCTCAAGTCATAAGTTCTGTGTTTCTGGACAAACTTGCACTCCATCTTCTTTGGAGGACAAACAGCCTGTGTCCTCCATTCAAATGTCACAGCACAGCCAAGCATGTCACTCAGAAGGTGTGGACTCCCGCTGCCAGCATTTTCATCACATACAAAAATAATAGTAGATGCCTTTCTTGCAGTTGCTATAAGAGGGAAAATTGGAAATAAGAGTACCTTGCAAGAGGCTTCCATACACACATAGATTTTAAAGTCTGATACCTCACAATTGCTATCAGATATAGTTTCAGATAAAGCACAAATGCTTTACCTTGCAATTTTCCTCCCGAAGTTACCTTTTCATGCTTTTTAGGAAGTTATGTAGCTCTTCCCTCAAAAATGACTATCTCTGTCAAAGCAACCACTTAGTGACTCAAAGCCACACATTCTGAAGGCATTAACGTTTTTCACTCATTTGAGTAAAATACATTTATTCCATAGATTCATTGTCTTGCACAGTCCCATCAATTCACTTATTTGCATTACACCAGAGGTCTGCTGCTCTCCCACAATTAACTCTGATCATTATAGGTGAAAAGAAGTTCTTACCATTCACACAAAATCCCCACTTTCCATCTCCCTGGTAGTCCACAGTTGTAGCACACCATGGTCTGCTCTTTTCTTCTGTAATACATTTATCATAGCTCTTCCCTTTGTACTTGAAGGGAAACACACAAAGCTCTCCCTTTTCTGTCACTGAGAAAGAAAGGTAAGTTCTCTTAACAAGATACACAGCAGAACAGCACACACATCCAGACCCAAGACAATATCTAAAGCCTATACCTCAATACTATCCAAGAAGAATCACATGCAGACCGTAAGCATTAAAACATTAAGTCTAATTCCAGTCAGAAAACTCAAATACAGTACGCAGTTGGCTATGATCACTCCTCCCCTACAAAAGCGTGCAACAGTTTTGTAGAAGTGTTGATATTGCAGCTCAGTATGGTGCATACTACTGAACAAAACTAACTTTCTGCTAAGGCATGAAAAAAAAAATCTATGTTGCTTCCCTCCTTTTTGCAGTGAAACTTAGATTTAAGGGTAAGAAGAATGACAAGACTTTACATAATGAGACCATCCATTGCAATCTCACCTGGAGGGCACCGATCACCTCCTGTATACTGCAAGATGACTGTTTCATCTTGGTGGCTATAATCCATTTTCATTTCCTTTATGCTTCCAAACGAGGACACACCACTTCCAGATGTCATGCACACTGCCCCATCTTTGCATTTTCCCTGGGACACATCTGCCTTACTGCATACACTAACATGGTATCTGCTGGATCCAGAAAGTACCTGTGGGGACACACCCAGAAGCATCACAAACAAGGCTGCCCCTTAGAGTCTGGAAGTCAATACACGTGAAGAACCACCAAAGTGCTTTATGAGACTCATACAGTAATTACATAAATGCAGATAACTGATTTTGTGAGTCCAACCTTCATTAATGTGGCAAAGCTTCAGATAAAAGAGCATTCATAGGGACAATGAAACAGCATATTCAGCAGGCCCATCATCATGTCCAAAGCCAAATTAGGACTATCTTCAGTTAAAAGTTCTCCTTCCTTTACATATTAGTAGACTCCTCAGCTTCTCTCAGAATTGCTAAGAGCCAATGCTCTAACACTACTCCCTCTGTCAAAGGGCAAATAACTACAAACACTGACCACAGCTGCAGCACACATTTTAGTCTCTTCTCACACCCCAGGAATTAAAAAACATTCCAAGAAAGCGTTACCTCAAATGATCTTCCAGAAAGGCTGGTCAAGTTAAAAGTATAGTGTAACTGTTCATCAGTCACAGAACAGCCTGAAGTTTTCACTCGATCAGGACACACAACTGGTGTTTCCCACTCAAACACAAAACTGCAGTCAAGTTTTCTTATCATCTTCGGCTTACCCTGTTGCCAAAGAGCACAGCAAGAGATAAGATTAGGCTTAATGTTGGAAAATCTTCATCATTTCTACAATATTCTTATCCCTCTTGAAATCCCTTATTACTGAGGTTAGGTATCCCTGACTGTAGGACAAATTCCATACCTTAATATTACAACTATTACAGAAAACTTTTAAACTTATCTCCAGAAAACAAACTAGCAATTGAAGTAAGCTAGCTGTCTTATTAATTAGGGTCAAGATTTTGACGTTCAGCTTAGTTGTACACAGGAAAAAAAAACAAAGGAGCTGTGTTTCTTCACAGTAGAGAACATTCAGTTCACAAAGTTAAGATACGGACAGAAGGCTGTTTATTTTGTCATCTGATTTTAGATAAAAGCAAGTATGGCCTGCGTAACACTCAAAGCTGCCTTGTTTCAGCTCATCTTCTGTCTTGATGAGAAATGGTCCTACTGAGCACTTTTAACAAGCTCTCATTTGTCAAATATACTCAAGTGCTTCTCCACCGTTTTTCTTAAATTTTCTAAAAAACATCAAGAAGTGTCAGATTTGCAGCATCAAATGGCTTCAAAAGGTTTGGTGTCAACAGAAAACAGTTATTAGTACCTGAACGCAAATTTTGAGAGCTGTGTATGATCAGGAATTATATCATAGGTGAAAAATTTCATAGTAACAGCTTAATAAACAACTACACTAGTTCTTGTATTAGCTCATGGTACAAGTTTCATTGTGTTGGCTTTTTTTTTTTTTACTTCAAGTGTAATAGAATATTAAGTTTAATGCCAGCAGTAAGTTATCACTGTCACTTCAGTGGAATGTAATCCTTAAAACTGTCAGTACTTGATACTTTCAAGCCTAAAGTTCACGCATTATGAAATTTTGTCTAGTTAAGGATACAAATATTCCTTACTTGAGTGCACAAAACAAGACCATCCTTATATGCTAGAAAAAAACGCTTTAGTTTTAAGCAATATTAATGCTGGTTACTATTCAGTTCTCATTGCACTCCAGTATCAACATTAGTTTAACAAATGTCTTACCAGACTAGTTCCTTGGCTACAGTGAAATACAATAAGGGAAGTATAGTTCAATTTGTTGTTTATCTGACAGGGAGTAGTGCTGTTGTAAGCGATGTGAACTTCATTTACTGCCTCATTTAACATGGGAGGTTGAGTAACACGACCAATATCCTGCGCAAGCAAAAGATGCATATTAGGAGACATATAGGACATACCAAGATTTCACAGCAATCCAGAGATTCAGATCAATTCAGAGATTAATCTGTTTGGTTGACATAGGAGCACAACTACTACACACTTTTGAAAACTGTGTACTGTACTTAAAGAATAGATATAATATTTCAGTCATATCAAAACAGAAGCTGTGCAGCTAAAGACTCCTTAACCCGCTTTGACTGAGCTTGGAAAAAGTCAGGGAGTTTTTGCATATTAAGGCATATTTTTAATTTTTTTTTTTAAATCATTGCACTAATACCAGCAATTGAAAATTATGTTGGTAATACAACGCACTAAGTTCCCTGGATCAGAATGGTTGTTCATGGAAAACCATCTCAATTTTTTACCTGCATCTTCTAAAGCTCTCAAATAAGACCTCAAAACATAAGATCCTCCAACATACCTCAAGGTAACAGATGTTTCTCAATATTCTGTTATTGCCCATTCATCTAGCTGTCAACTACTTAAAAATTCTGAACACATCTGGGAGCATGCTAGGACACACCCTGCTTCATATCGCAAGCATGCTATCATGGAATCAAATGCACAATTTCTGCACCACAGAATAGCAGACATTTTGCTTTCCAGGCTCAGTACATGGCATGCAGCAATACACAAGACTGCAAACAGTTTTTTCCACATCTATCAAGGCATGGAAACTCTCAACATCCAAAAAGTCACTTGGGTTCAGGATAGGGAATTACCACTTCATAGGGAAAAACAATGAAAAATAATTTTGAGATTTTAATTTTGTAGTCCCTTTTTTTTATCCCCTCATCAATCCAGTAGGTTCAAAATCAGTATCTGTGATTAGAGACCTGTTTTAAACTAGCAGGAAAATGCACATTCCCACGATTCCAGACATAATACTTACTATTGGCAATTCATTAACAGGAACCATACAAACAGCTGCTCCAGGTGGGCAATTAACATCTTTGATAGGATTGAGAGGCTCACAAATGTTGATATAGAAGTCTGGAGAAACATCTGATGCATCTCCATCCACAAATGCCTCATAATAACCAGTGCGATGGATCAGAGGAGACAGGTCAATAACAGAACTACCATTCAAAACTGAGCAGCTCACCTATGAGAAAGCATGTTTTAGTGCTTTTATTCTATTATTGTTTCCTTTGACTTATTAACAATCATCCTTTCCCTTTACAGAGAGAGAAACAGAATTGTATTTAAAAACATCGAAGTTCCATTCAAGTAAAGCAGCATTTGTTAAAGCTCGTTTGGCTGTGGATACTAAGCATCTACAAGCTATTTATAAAAAAAAAAAACAAGCTCTCAAACAATTTTAGAATTTAGTCTATACTAGAGTAATATTGAGACTTAAAACTGCCATGCAGCCACTATGGTCTTCGCAAGAGTAATGGATCCTATGGCTCCACTGATGCGGGGAAGATGGCAACAATTTCAAGTAAAAATGCTTGGTTATAACAACATGAAGTTACTGTACTGCAAATTGATGGCTTGAGCACTGCTTCTTCAGAACCCATTTCAAGTGTTCTTTGAGGTGCATAAGCTTATGACACTTGAAATCTTGGAAGGCTATTTGTGTTCACATACTGGAAGTTTCATTATTTGCTCCATTTCTGTTTAGTTTTTGTACAAGTGATCATCATTGCTACCTAGTCACTACTATTCTGAAAAGTTAAAGTTACTGTGGGTGCACTGTGAAGTAATCAGGAATCTGTAAGTGATAACTGAATAGAATTAACAGGCTAGAAAATAATGCTTTTGAATGCTGATTTGTATTATATGTGAAATGTACTGGAGAAGAAACCTGAGTTGCATAAAGCAGAATTCCTGCACAAGACTGAAAGTGGGGATATTATCTGTCAGGGAAAGAAAAACTGAAAAAAAAATCTTAACAGACCTAAAGCTATAGCAGAACTGAAATATTTGTGAAGGGGAGGGGGAAAACTTGTCAGAGAACAATGGTCACATTAAGTATTTAAGTAAGAAGAAGGATCAGAAATTCATAAAGGTAGCATTCAAGTGCTATTAAGACATTTGTGCTAGTGTGAATTTAAAACATTTAACCTACTCCTAAGGCTAGCTTTTACTCTGTGTAACTGTTAACAGTAACAATTTAAGTTGATGAAATTCATTACAGTACAACTAGCTCAGACTACTGTCTGGAACACCAGTTCAACTAGAGTTGATCAAGTTATTTCATCTTGATAACACAAAGGATTTGCCTTTGCAGTGTAACACAATGTTTATCAGATAGTCATTGCACTTAGCAAACCTGATCAGACTTGCCTGGCCTTTTGTCACTAAGCATCTCTCTGCCTGGGACATGTTTCATTTTCCTATCTTAAACTCAGCCTGATCTCTCTTAACCTTTTCCTGATTCCTGGAGAATCTTAAGCATTCCTAAGAAGTTGCCTGTGGCTTTCATTTGAGCTGTACAGAAGAGCAGTTAAGTAGATTCCAGACTGAGGTTGATCTAAAATGGTGAAATTTTAACTTAGCTCACCATGTTCACAAGTTTGCCAGTGCTGTTCATCCCTGCTGAACACATTTACGAGTATTTAAGAATAAACCTGGGTTCCATACTAGATGAAAAAACCTTTCCCTCAAAAAATATAAAGCATATACTAATACTGTGCCTTAATCCCTCCCCTCTCATCAGAAATTTAGTCACACAAGTATTTTACAGAGAAGTAATCCTTACCTCTTCCTCACAAGCCAAGAAAGTATGCCAGGAGAAGTAACTAGTGCATGTCTGCTCATCAAAAGACAGAAAAACAGGATGGCTATCATCCCCAGAATCAGACTTGCATACAAAGCTAAAATAGCTTTTATGCTTCATTTTGAGGTCTGTAGGACAAGGATCGCCATCTTCATAAACAAGCTTCAGTACTTGATCTTCATAAGTTAAAGTTTTACTTGGTTTTCCAGCATTCAATGTTTTTGGACCATCAGTGATGCAGACGGCTACAGTTTATAAGAACAAAACAGATCAAATCTTATGCAACTGCCTTTCCAAACAGTGCTACACATTTACCTTACTGATCAACAGGGAACTTTAAAGGTTCTAGCCTTATTTTAACTTCCATAGAAAATGTTTATTACATTATCTGGACACATCATTAAACTGAGCTTAGTGGCACTGAAACAAGCCAGTACTGTCTTCAATAATTTATTAACTAGTAGAATATATTATAACCACATAGTAACCAAAAGCTGTGCTTAAATGTACTTCTCTGAAAATGAAGATATTAACAAAAATATCTAATCTATACATAAAGTCATTAAGATGCCCCCAAAAGAAAAACTACTACATAAAAAAGCAATCTTACTCATAAGCAATACTCCTGATTTTACTTAATTAGTCTCATATATAGTTTAAGACAGAAGAGCTAGCAATCCAGCCTGCCAATAAGAATCTTAAGATACTAGTCAACTGTTAGTGATATTTCAAAAGCATCCAAAAAAAAGAATACCAAGCTAGAAAGAGGACTGGCAAGAGGCTGAAGTGTGGACACAAGGCTAAGGCAGATGCATTATAGCAATCGATACCAGGCAGCAGTTACTGCTGTTGGCTCACACCACCTTCCTTTTCATAGGAACCATGAGGTTTAGCAATAACGCCAGTCTTCCCCTCACCTCCAAAAACGCTACTCATCTTTACAGATGTAACAGAGACTGGAAGTGAACGCATTTAAGGTTCAAAATGAAATTTGAAAGAGAGACATTGCTTTACTACTTGGAACAGCTTCTGGATCTCTTCCTAAGCCAGTCAGCCACACAGCTCTCTTCAGTCCTTATGTTTCCAGTAAAACTCGTCATACACATTTTACTGTAAGCTTGTATATAAATATTTCTTTCAGGTACAACTACAATAACAGTGGTATGAGATGCTTACCAGCTCCATTAGCACACGTGCTCTTAGCTTCAGCACAAACATTCAACTCAATTTTTCTGTTGTGTGCATCAATGATTGTATAGCCAGACTCTCGCTTCAGTGATGTCAAATCAAAGAGGTGGCCTACAGAAAACAGGGTATAGTTTAAACTTTTTGCAGATTCAAAGTAATGACATTACTTTGTATTAAAAGCTTTCAGTAACTTCATTTGGTAGGAAGGTCAAACAGCACCTACCTGCTTGCTAACTTAAAAGGCTAGCACTATGAGATCATATCAAGAATTAGAATAAAGCTAGTTTCAGAGCAGATGTATTACAAGCTTTCTATAGATCTTTTCTATTTTAGTACAAAATATTTCTACCCACCAACAGTAAGCTTGTTGGTCACTATCCAGATCTTTCACTTTCCTCATTTAATAAAATTCTTTGAGAGCAAACAGTTACTCTGCATCCAGCTGCCTCATTCACATACATAGTTCTCAGGCTCTCTCTCTCTCCTTACCTGTTGCAGGATTCGTTACCCGGCAGTCATTTTGCATGTTGCTTTTAAGAGGACATGCAGCAGCAGTGAACCATATGAAGCTGTAATCGCAGTCTTCAATGGCCATTATAAGTTCTGGCTTTGATTCCTAAACACAAAACAGTGACAGACTACATTGCTGCAAAGTGATACCTGTAAGGTTCCATGTCACAGGGTTAGACCTGAAACCTCTAGCTGAGCTCAATTCAGCCATTGCTCCTAGGACTTAACAGCCCATTTGGGACCAGCAAAGTAACTATTATAGTAGTTTGCTACAGTGTAGCTGTATCACATGCACAGGATAGTACAATATCCTCATCAGTTTTACAGCTACTAATAATAAGTGAGCGAAAGGCAGCCTAGCTTAACAGTGGAAAATCCAAAAGCTGAGGATGAAACATTTCAAGTTAATTAATAGCTAGGCACAAAGATGAGCAACCAAGGCTTAAAAACTACAGACACTAACATTCAATATTCAATACTGGCACTGCTCTAGGTGTTTCCCAAGATACAATACTTACCTTCAAGATGCAAACATTTTAAAGGCGTTCCAGATGATAAAAGCTGCTAGCAGATTGTGCAAGAAAGACATCTCTTAAGAGATGCTCATCATTTAAAATATCATTCCATAATCTGCTCATAAAGCTGTCTCACAAATAGCTGAAGAGTAGGGAACAGCTAAGAACTGCTCCACCATCCTCCCCACACAGAGCAACACAAATAACTCACAAAAAATATAAAGCCCTACCAGGAGAAGCCTACTTACAATTTTGCTTTCATCACACTTAAGGCGCAATATTGTTGTTTTCCTGCGAATTTTATCTGGACAAAGCTCCCCATTAATATATTTCAGAGTAGCAATGCCATTTTCCCACCGGGGTCCTTCAGCCACTTCTCCAAGGCTTATACATTTGATACCTTCCACAAGGGAGGCAGCAGCATCAGGAGGGCAGGAACCTATACAGATGAACAAAAACCACTGCATTATTATTCCAAAAGTTAAGGCCATTTTACGGGAATAAAAAAATCCACTTTCAATTACACCATAGCTGATCTACTTCCAAACCAGCACCTAAATTACATTTACTGTAGATTCCTCCCGTCTCCAACCCTAATCACCTCTATTTGTAGCTAGAAAACATTTCACTCTTACGTGCAGCGCCATATGGTACTAAAGGCTTGCAGACATTAATATAGTATTTCTTTGTAGAAGTAGAAATATCAGTTGCCTCCCAGTTCTCTCTATGCCGTGTCAGAGACGAGAAGTCATAGAAATTTCCTTCATCATCCCTGTAAGACAGAAAATTTTAATTAAGAGGTATTAAAGTAATTCCAGCAACTTTAGAGCTGTCAAACTTTATCCCAGAAACTCTACAAAGAGTGTTGTGATGGAAGAGTCTGCACCGGATTCACTGGTCCCCACAAGCCTCAAATTCAGTAGAGATAAGTCACCCAACCTGCCAGTAAACCGCCCATGTACACACAGACCATATAATGCATGAGTAATTTTTAATTTCACTGGAGCACACACTATGCATGTCAAACAAATGCACAGTTGACTATCATTTTAGAGTAGAACTGAAGCACGGTACCACAGGCAACTGCTAGCCATATTTGAGAGTACATCACTAAATCTTTTTGAGTTAATACTTAGTTGAGAAGAAAACGCATTTTTCCTTGAGTTTGTCTGATGGAAGTTCTTAATAGGTGTCACTTGCTTCCTTGTTCAAGTTAGCTATAGTTGAATATCCACATTTATAAAAAGCTAGTATATTCAGATTTCTAGCACTGATATCAGCATACCTAACAGTTCACTTTTACACTGAATTTACTCCTCAGGAAATTCCCAAATGAAGTATTTTTGCTTTGTGAAATATTAGTTTGAGGAAGTACAAATAGCATGATAAAATTACACAAAATATTGCTTTAGGATTGAATGTCACTGCAGCTACTAATAGATTAAGTAAAAAATACAATAGCTAAAGTAGTGGTATCGCATGAGATTGCAGTAAGGCTATATACTCATTTCCACCATCACACAGCCCAACTTTACTTATGAGAAAACAGCTTACTTGTAGGAACACTCAGTAGATTTAACAGGGGGGCAGGCATACTGCGTGTGCCATTCAAACATGTAGGTACAATCTGGAGTTTCTTTCAGAAATACAGGCTGAAAGAACAAAATTCAAGAGGAATTTATTTTCTCTCATTTAAACATAGAAATTACCAAAAACATCTCAGTCTTGCTTCAAGAAGGTGCAGCAACTTCTATATATTCACATACCATCTTAGAGACATACTATGCTTCTGATCTAAAAAACATGGCTCAAGAAGCTCAAAACACAGTTTTTTTTCCCCAAACCCAAAGTTATCTATGTGCACAATTCTGATTAAAGAGCAACCACTAAAAGCTACCAGTTCCTCTATGATACAAGGAAAAGGAAGAGCCAGAAGTAAACCTACGCACCATTCTTTATGAATAGGGAAGTCAGCACAAGAATAGAGAGCACTATTAAAAACGTCAAGTTATCCAATTTTTTTGTCTGGCCATATACTTCTTGCTTTTCTGTGGATTTTTCTCCTACCTTTTGCTTCCAACAAACAGACTGCTCTGAGAGAACATCCCTCACCAACATCTCCAAGAGCTTTGCTAGGAGCAGACATTTCTTAAAAGAACACCATGCTCTGATGTTCTTGAGGCATGAGGAAGGTTCCTTCCATAAATAGCAAGTTCAGTTATTTATTAAAGCCTCAGAAGAACTTCACATCTCCTGCCCAGTCTGTAAGTGAATAAGCAGTTCTTGGAGGAAGCCAGTTCATATTCTTCATCTTACCCTCCCGCACATTATGAAGAGAGCAGTTCTGGAAGACAGTTTATGCAGGAATTTAATGTTCTGCAACTAACCTCTGATGTAGTCTTGTCACAGTAGAATAATATGGCAGTTGATCGTTCATATATTTTATGACATTGTTCTCCACTGGTGTAATTAATCATTATTAAACCATTTTTGAAAGTCAGTTTCTCTGTAAGCAAGCCTAGAAGAGTTGAGAAAAGAAAGTTAAACAGCTAATCCAGTAAACACAGAACTGCAATAACACATCTGGCAATAGAGTTACACAGGCAGCAGATACACGCATAATAAAGTACCGACAGAAAGACCTAGACATTCCTCTAAAACACAACCTTTTTATTTCTTACATTCCAGTATAAGAAATAATTCAATCCTTTTTACATGGTAAGATAAGATTTCACACTCTCTCTTTATATATAGATTTTACTTGCACACGAAGTAGAAGCGATAGGGTATTTTATCTTACAAAACACGTAGGATGAACCAGCATATAACTGAAGCTACTATGTGATAAATTAATAGCTCTTACTATTCTTTCACTCTTCAAGTTCCTTTCAATCAAGTGCCATACCTGCTACTTTTCTAAAAGTGCTGTCCTTCTTCTTTACTTGACATGACGACACAGAATGAGCCCCTGGTCTGCAGAGTTCTGTTATTTCTCCACAAACTCTGAAGTAGTAGTCATATTCGTCTGTACTCACTTTTATGTCTTTATTGGAAAGTGGCTTGAGATTATAAACATGACCATATCTTGGATCTTTCACCTGGCAATCCTCTCCTTTAAAGGAAAGTTAGAAATTTAAAATACAATTCTATATCTATGAGCCATAACTACCACTAGCACAAAATGTAAGTGCTATACTGTATTTCAAAAACCATCTCAAGCTGTCCTTACAGGCTCTTCCTTCACCATAGAAGGTTATGTGCAGAACCAAAAATACCAAGTTCAGCACTTGCTTAATTGTCTGGAAAGAACAGTGAGGTCAAGGCTGAAGCAAAAGTTGTCCTAGATGTCAGACTTGCATTCTCCTTGAATAGTTATGGGGTCTGCAGCACTAGTAAATAATCAATATAGGAATTGTTATAGCTTAAGGGAATATCAAGGTCTATGAAGATAAGAGGTTTGAGGAAGTTCTAGCTTCATGGGTCTAACCAGCTGACAGAAAATTTATAGTATTACTGCTGATTGAATTCTAGTGGTCACTAGTGTCACATGATTACTGTTTTTTCATTAATCCCCTAACAAGTTGGTACTAAGACATGACGACACAAGTCTCTCTCCCTTCAAAATCATAACTCGTCAACTGCATCCTGCACAGTAATTGCATATGACGGAGCAGCATCTTAACAAGCATTCCTCTTGCACCACATGTAGGTAACTGACAGTGTCAATTACATCTAGTACTGCTGCAAACAGGTACTTCACCAAAAGTCCTGATATTATACAAGGCATTATCTGCAAGTTGTAAAACTGAGCCTGTAAAGGCAGAGAAGATATCTCCATGTTCCGCTTTCTAAGAGAAAATTGACTACTAGAACTAAAACTCAATTCCTTCTTGCATGTCCTAAAGTCAACTGTAAACTCATATTGTCCTCTCTGGTCTCTCCACCATCATCTACTAAGAGTCAAGTTCACAACACTTTCTGCTCTTCGGGGAGGATGCCTTGACAGACATAGGATCAATCACACATGAAATCTAGCACCAATATTTGCAAGACACCAGCAAGTCTCTGTGATTGAGGTAGCACTCTGACTTGGTCAGAGAATATTATTACTGTACTTTTTTCCCCAAATACAAGAGTCCATTTAACTATCACCCTAAATTGCACTTTTAAGGATAGGTATTTCTCTTGGACCTAGGCTCCAAAGGGACTTCAACGCAAGAGTTAGCATCTATCACTGAAGTATTTGCAGGGCAAAAAAGCAAATACAGCTCCACTAGGTATTTGCTTCTTATACAGATCTGTTCTATATTTTGAAGCTTAACTATAGTTACCTTCTGCTTTGTGAACAGGACAGGCTGCCAAGGTTCTCCAAACAAATACAAACTCACAGTCATCTTCTTGCTCCAAAACTGGTGATCCCTACAGAAAAATAAATTGTATGAAGGAGATGTATGAACAACTACAGTTGTTGCAAGTCCCAAAACATAAAAGAGATAACTGTTTATTGCAGTTGCATAGTCTAAAGACACTATTATCAAACTTCAGTACCCTTTCTACACAAAGCTCTATTGGTGGCTCAAAAATTCAGAGAACTTTGTTGTGCACAAAAACTCCAGGAAGTTGTTGAAAGGAGAAACAAGAGAAAAAGCTTTTATACAAGACACTGCATTTTAGAACCAATCTCTCCATTACAAGAAAAATAGTAAACTGTCTATGTTGAAAGTCCAAGCTCAAGTCTTCACAGCTCTTAACGTAGCAAATTACCATTGTTTGATCGCACTGGAATATTATACGTGTAGAATAGCGTTGCTTATCTTTACACGTATCACCGTTCAAGTAAGTAATGCTAAGTGACCCATCAGTAGCAGCCTGTGGATTTATCTGAATGACTCCAAGGTTCTTGCTTTTATCAAGGTATTTCACACAGGATCCTATAGCACCACCTACGGGAAAGCAAAAGAAAACTATTTTAGTACAAAGCTCTGACAACCAGAGCCCAAAGGCTTTGGAATAGAAAGTAAGTCACTGTCCTGCATTCACTGAGACCTTCAAAACTGTACTAATCTTTACGGAGATTAAAGTAAGAAACTTGCTAGAAATTCAGAATTCATTCAGATAAGGCAAGCTAAAAGTTGATACCTCTTTTTAAAAGAAAAGTCAAGATACTTATAAATACTGCTCTTAAAACATTTACCCCAAATGCATTCCTACAAATCCCAGCGCAAGAGTCCCGTTTAGTATCAAGACTGCTCGCAGTCTGAGAGCTCTGTAGTACTTTTACAACCTTGCACAGATCTAGGTGAGGTATGTCAAGTTCAGCAACTGAACAGGCAGGATTTAAGTAATCTTTCTAAAATAACTCTGCACAGAAGTTCTGGCACAAGAACTCAAGAAGTCAAGAAGTGTTGGCCATTTGGCTTACCAGGGCATCCAGGCACAAAAGGCAAAGGCTTGCAAACATTCAAGAAAAAAGTTCGCTTCTTTGCATTCTTTGAAGTATCTATAGCAACCCATGGTTCACTCTCTTTGCTCAAATCACTTAAGTCATACTCATTACCAGCAGCATCTGGAAGAGATGTGGCACATACAGTAAAAGCTGGAATATCTGCTAAGATAGGTGCAACAGTACTGAGTTCCGGACATTTCCTTGACAAATACAAATAATTAAAAGTGTTGTTCAGAATCATATTAGATACCCACTGAGAAAGGGTACTGCTTGCATAAAGAAGCAACTATACTAAATGAAAAAAAAAAAAAACAAGAGTTCCCTTGATGTGTAATTTAGCTACCATAAGTAGCTACTTTAATTAATAGGCTCGTTTTTCTGGAAGCAATACAAATTTAACCTATTTTCTTCAGTTAGACTGAAGCAACACCTGTGTTTCACAATAGCTTCCTCCCCCTTCCTCCCTTAAGCCTGCTTCAAACAAATTAGTTCTCCCTCCCCACCTTTATGAAGATCTCAAGTACTGAACTTACTCAGACCAAGCATCCTTAAATCTTTATCTAAATGGCCTCCTCCATAAAAGCCTGTGGTGAGTAGTTAATCCTTCTAATAGTTACTGCACAGAGCCAACCTGAATCTCAGGTACATACTTACCTGTAACCTGGCAGTCTACAGGAGCAGGAGCACAGGCCAGAGCTGTGTGAAACTCAAAGAAAGTATCATGAATGTTCAGCCTACTGTTGATCTCTTCACGCACAAACTTAAGCTCTCCAGGATACGAATCATTACAGATGAAAGTCACTGTGAATGTGTCTGATTTTCCTGCAAAACAAACACTTAGCTTGAACTTCAATTTAAATATTCTCCAGTGAAGCAGCAGCAGCAAGTAACACTTGACTTTAAGATTTTCTAACAGCTTCCTGTTAAACTGCTTCAAGGGCAACACTACCTTCTGTTTTTACATTTTCTGAATGACGAAAAAAACATCTTCAGATAACTATCCTAAAATTCATAGCAGTCAGTAATAACATTACAAAATAGAGAATAGAAGAGACATTCTAAAGAGCGTAATCACATTCATTGAACTGTACCTCCCACATCTTTGACAGACTTGTGGAAACAGAAAGCCTATAAAACATCAAATCCATTGTACCAGTAACTCCTAGATTGCATCACACAAAGAACAGTTCTTTAAGTTGTGTAATAACTAGAGAACAAAGAACACTGACTCTTTTTAAGCAATACATGTTTAGTCTTCTCCACAGTAGTAACAGGGAGAATATCTGTCATTACTGCATCCTAAAGTAAACAAAATGGTAGAAGCTCTCACAGTGAAATACATGGTAGCTCATTCACTTTCCTGGCTGTAAAAAATAACATAAACATAGTAATTTGTACAGAGAGATCAACATTTCAGAAGCATCTTAATCCTAAACACTTTCCTGAAAAAAAAACTTTTAAGATGCTCTGTACCTCCCTCAAGACTCAGTTTCAATACAGTCGGAGAGCTTGTGTTTAGCTTATGGGTTTTACCTCTTCTCATTAGTCTTACTTGCAAAAACAGACTAAAATTCACATGGCAGGTACACATGAGATACTAAAGCACTTATTCACAAACTCCTAAGAACAGCATAATATACTTGAAAGGTCATTTTTCATTAATAAAACTACTTTAAGCCTTGGTTTTGTGAATAATCTCTAAAGCAATAATTTCACTTAAGAGACAGAGCTGATTTTGCTTGCTTTCTCTATTTAACTATCTATTTCCCTTTTCTAACAGAAGGTATTTTTCATCCACTTAGTAAGAGGAAAAACATCTTGTGCTGTATTTTGTCCATTTTCAAGAGTTTTGAAGTGCACATTTATTTCTGAAAACTGAACAATAATCATTTAGCATGGTTTGATTTCTCATGAGACACTCATATGAGCTAAGCCTAATTAAGTGATTAGCATTAAACCCAGCATTAGCGATTAGCATTAAACCCATTAAACTTACACAAAGTGTGAAATGAAGACAGAAAGTACAATATTAGTGACAAACCACACTGCACATTTCCCAAACTCACCTGATTCAACAAGAAGACGACCTCTGTACGTAAGAGTTAGAAACCCTTCGCTAGACAGATAAAGAGTTTTATCCAATTCTACCATCCTTACTGATGTCAGATTGTCTGCTTCACATCCAGCAGCTGGTTTTCCATTGATTTCACCACATTCTGGCATAGATCCACAAATGTTTAGCTAGAATTTTTAAAAACATACAGGTGTACACAATGTTAACTAGTTCAGAAAAGTTAGGCTCATGTAGTCTTTCTGCATCAGTGAAATTCTCTTGTTAAAACCTAATTTTTGAAATTATATCATAATTTATACATCATAAAATGCCTGAACTGCAAGACAACTATCTATACAGGAGCAACACCCTCAGGGTCCACAAATTCACCCCACTGGAAGAAAAGGATGTGATTTAACTAGTCAAAAATCCTATGATACTATCTGTGGATAGTCTAAAACTAACGAGACATATAAAGCACATTAAGAGGACTGACACGGATAAATTAAATCGCTCATAGGCTTACACTGGCCATCTTTGGCATTAGTAAATAAACCAGTATTATACAACTGAGTATATAACTAGCCATGCATAGCATAGAGGTGCCACTACAGTGTGACTAATTTTTAGCTTTGCCATATCAACAAAATATTGTTTATTTAAATACTATTTTGAATGATGAATCAATTTGTCTTCTATTCTTCTCTTAAGTACAATGCTCTTCTACCAACTTAAATTTCATAAGAGGGTGGAGTAAAAGTTCCAACTCACTAGGTATGACCAGAAGAAAAAAAGCAACAGCAGAACCCATAAGCAACAGACTACAGTCAGAATCCTTACCAAGTAGGTCTTCCCAATGCCAGTGGTTGTATAGCCCTTCTCTGCAGCTAATGGCTGCAGATTGAACAAAAATCCACTGTTCGGATCTCGCACAGAGCAGGACTATAAAATAAGAGTTGTAACAGTATTACTCTCTACCTCTGCATTTCTTTTGTTTAATGTTTTATTTCTACCTTGCTCAGAGAGCCAAAGAAGTGATTTGCATGTATACCTATCCTGTGCACCAAGCAGCAACTTAATTTGGACAATTAGATTACAGGTCTGGTAGTAGCAACTCTTCATTTAATTCTTTTGTACAGCTGCCTGTTGACATTGGTCATATACCAGTAAGTGTAATTTAACCAATGTTATTTATTGGGTTAGCTAGAGCAAATGTTTTAATTGAAAGACAGTTGTACACTAATGTGATATTTCAAGACTTGTAAAACAGAGTAACTGAGTGGCTCATTGTACAAAGTGATTCTAATTTGATTAGCTATACACAAACAAGAAAAAAAGGATAATACTTAAAAAAGCATCAACTTTACTAGCAGCCTCATATGTCCTGCAAATTGCTCTTTGAGTGAGCACTGGAACATTTCTGTCCAGTTACATGCTTTGTGCACACTTCAAGAAAACAATAAGATGGCACAAAGTTCCACCATGATCAACTTCATATTTCACTGTAATTGAATTTTCTCCTAGAGTAATGAAAACGCAGCAAACAAATGCTAGAAAAACATACTCTGCCCTGGTGAGGCCATATTAGACTGTTGGGTTCAGCTCTAGGTACCCCTGTTAAAAAAAACTCCTAGAAGTCCAGTGGAGGACCAAAAAGATGATAAAGGGCCTCAAGCACTTCCCACATGAGGAAAGGCTGAGTAACCTGGGTTTGTTCAGCCTGGGGAAAAGACGACTGGGAGGGGATCTGATAAACATTTATAAATATCTAAAGGAAGGTGGGAGACAAATGGATGAGGCCAGATTCTTATCAGGGGTGTGTAGCAGTAAAACAAAATGTAATGGCCTATTACTTCCTTCTACACAGGAAGTTCCATACTAACATGCAGAAGAACTTCTTTACAATAAGGGTGACAGAGCACTGGAACAGGTTGCCCAGAGAGGTTGTGGAGTCTCCTTCTATGGAGACATCCAAGCCCCATATGAAGGTCTACCTGTGTGACCTATTGTGAGCAATCTGCTTTAGCAGGAGGGTTGTACTTGATTTCTTGAGGTCCCTTCAACTCCTGCAATTCTGTGAGACCATGAACACACTTGTTTTGATTTTCTTACCTGAGAATCATCTTTTGTTTCCTTGACTGGACAAGCAGCTTCAGTTTCCCATAAGAATGTAACCACACATTCTTGAATAGATATAAACCGGGGGCTGCTATTCTGAAAATGAATTGCAGACAGAAGACCAGAATCAAGTAAAAAGTAACAGCCAAGATCTTCACACATTTGTGAGATTCTGCTTTAAAAGCAGCCTACCAATGGCCCTCAGCCCTAGGCTGTTTGGGATATATGGTATAGTAGATAATAAACAAAAATCAAGCACTACAAAATACCGTTAGCTGACATAACTGAAATAAGTTACTCAAACTTGATTTCAACGCTTTCGTACAAAACTAAAGTAGCTCATAACTGCTCTAAGACCCAGGTTTTCACCATCTCTTTTGGGAAGACCACTAAAGTAAGGAAATCAAAACTTGCAGATTCACAAAGCCAACAGGAAAAGTCTTAGGCAAACTTCACTAGTGTCCCCGCTCACCAGTAGAGTCTGAACTTTAATATGTAGATTTGTATCAGTAGAGCTCTTAATTCTATGAACTTCATGTAGAATCAAGCTGCAGAGATGCAGAAACTCAGTCTAGAAATGCACTTTCAACATCCTTCCTCTTAAGATGTTCTGCAATGTCTTTAACTATAAAAGGTACTTTTTCATGCTAATTACACTAGTCTGAAACATCAGTTCCTACTAGGGTTATTAGCTTCTAATTAGTTCTTATTTATGATAAAATACTCAGTTTTAGAATCCAGTAAAATACATACCCAATTTAAAACAGAGATGCAAAAAAATAAAGGTAAGCCCTCAAGTAGCCTCCCTTAGTCACAAGTCTTACATGCTATAAATTTTCAGGTAGCTTCTTGTTATGTGATGTTATGTGACAGAAAATCTACTATGATAAAACAACTGAATGTCCTTACGAGAGTGCCCCTGGAACACACAAAGTGGATGGTGGTGGTATAAGAAGTTCTCTCTCCATCAGCATTGATGCATACAGAGCCATTTGCATAGGTTAGAAGAATGTGACCAAGTCTTTCAACTACTAGTTCTTTGCTGGCAACACCAAGATTACTGATAGATGTGACTTCGTAGTAAGAATCCTAGAAATAAAGAAAAATGTCAGCAATTTTGAACTCAAAAGGACATTTCTTAAAATATCAAAATGAAAAAAATACAGTAATTTTGCATACAGAAGGTTCTCTCCATTGCATTCACAATTCAAACCTAGAAATCTCTCAAACATGGAACAGAAGAAAAATATATAGGTCCACATATTTAAAGCGTAAACGCCACAAACCACTTATTTTATGATAAGGTGCCTATAGTGCTTCAAAACAACCACCCCATCACATCAGCTACTCATCTTAGAAGTTTAGGGAGCCCGATAATCTCATATGACAATAAATACAATATAATCTATATAGTTGTTTAAAACTATGCTGAAGCCATAAAGTTGACCTTGCATATATGCATGATTAGCAAAGCTTAAAAGTCACTCTAAGTAGAACACTACCAGCACCCTTTTTCTCTTGGCAACTTCTGACTAACCTATTCAAAAGCCTACATGTTAAGAGCAGAGTGGCAAATATTCCAATCCAAGCCTTATGCAAAACAATATCCAGAATAGAATATTCCTAAAATAATGCTATCAGTCTTTGAGCCTGCAGCAGCATACATGACAAAGAACAGCTTGTCTGCTTTTAAAACAAAACAAAGGAAAAACCATATATACCCCAGATACCACTGTATGTTGTACCAAGGAGTCAAAATTCATGTGTTCATCTTGTAGAACCCTTTATTTTAATCACCTGGCAAATCAGCTCTGAGCTGGGACAGATGGAAGGGCTACTCACATGATCATGCCGATATTCCATCTGGCACACAGATGCTCGTCGGTCACATCCTGGAACAGCAAGTAGAGGTCGACAGACATTTATGTAGTACTTCTTGCGCTCATTTGGTCCTGAATTATCCATGGCATACCAATTCTCACCTCTCTTCTCTGATCTTGCTAAGCTGGGTAGAAAGAAAAAGTTTTACGCTATGAATACATGTTATTCATTTTGCTTTGTCAATCTCAATAGAAACTGACAGTAAAATCAAAGAGTCAGCTTGTATCTTAGGAAAGGAGTCAATATACTAGATTGAAATACCCACATTTCAGGATACTTGCAGTTCACATTGTTATAACAGATGACTTCTCTAATGCTACCTATGTACAAAGCCAACATCATGCAATGCTAAAGTATAAGCCAGAACACAAACCTAGAACAGCTAAGCTCACACAGAGGCTCCTACTTTTACCTTGACAAGTCATATTGGTCCATAGTGTTGGGATCTGTCACAATGCACTCCAATGGCATTTCAGGACAGGCATATTCAGTGTACCATCTGAAATTGTAGGTATAGTTGTCTTCTACCTAAAACAAACAAAAAACAAACAGGTCAATTGATGCTTTCATACCAACTACTACTTGAATCAAGGCTACTCCTTTTTATGTTAAGCTTATTTCCCTTTGGTTTGGAGGATATATTTTCTCAGATTGACTTATGTTCTATTTGTCTCCATGTTGATCCTGTCATTATTTCCCTTCAAAAAATCCCACACCAGAAAAGCAGAACCAGAACAACTTAACTACTGTGTTACAGAACAGTCTTAGTACTTGTTACTTATTCAGCTGAAATGTACATTTGTTCTTTTGACTAGAAACATAAGAGGATGGAAAGCACTTCTAACTACATGGCCTAGAAACTAGAGAATAGCAAGGCAATAGACCCTGACGCAGGTCAACAGCTTACTGTTCACTAGGCAAAACAGGATTTTACAGACACTGACAGATACACCAAGAGAAATAACCGCTTCCTTTATCAGCTTGCTTTATAGATATGGGTATTTGCATCCATGAATCTCCATCCACAAATCTATGCTGCAATAGCCTAACAGTGATTATGATCAAAATCTACGGACACAAACTTCCCTTTTCCATACATAACTTCTTACCTGATATTCAGGCTGACCTACTCCAGCCTGACGATCACACAGGAAAGTTATATGGGTAGATCGCTGTGTTTTCTTTTCATTGTTATAAGCAGTACCATTTTTGTAGGTCAACTGAATCAGTCCATCATAATACGAAAGTCTGGAATTAGGTAGTCCAAGACTCCAAAACTGATCCTTTCTGAAAAAAAAGAAAAAAGCACAAGCTTTGAGACTGAACCAAATTCATATTTAGTTATGTTAAAGAGAAGTATTCCAAACAATAGGCACATAGGTATGTTTATGGAAGATTCCATAAGATTCCATAATAAGACAAGAAGGATTAAGTAATACTGATTAGACAAAGTGTGCTAGGATAAAGAGTGCCACCAAAAGAAAACTTGAAACATGAATAGGTGACCTTTGGAAAAGAAATCATACCTTAATTAAGGTATCTAACACACTAATCCTGCATTCTCTAAAGCACTGACAGGAAATTCATATTTTCAAACTGCGTATTTTAAATATTAAGCTCAGTTTAGTTCCATGCAATTACCTGAGGACTGAAGATTTAGGACTGCAAGTCTTCCCACTTATTGATGACAATTAAGTTCACGTGCTCTTAGCTCAAGTCCAGGTTTGGTCTAGGAGGTTTTCTTTACTCTAACTTAATGCTAGCTTTATCAGATTTAGCCTATCTTCCATGAAGTGCAATTTTATTTAGTGCCTGCAGTGAGTTCTGCATAGCCTGAGTTGGAAGGGTCCCACAAGGATCACTGAGTCCAACTCCCAGCTTCCCCTAAGACCACTCAAGAAAAAAGTCATATCTGAAGGAATAATAAACACACTATCTCAAAAGCTAAATGCAAGCATGATCACATGTGCACTTTGCTTGAAATAGCTGGCAGCCTAACTACTGTGCTACCACATGCTATTTTACATGTTTTATATGCAAACTCCATGAGTTCTAGTAGTGCAATAATAATTTTAAATGCAAATTGCTGTTACATAGAAAGCACATCAAACAACAGGAAATCTATTACAGGCAAGAGAATTAGTTACTCACCCTTGTGTTACCTGGCATGCTGCTGATTGTGTGTGACACAAATTATCAGGCACACTGCCACAGATGTTTATGTAGAACAAATATTCTGTAGTGTTAACTGTGTAGTGCCCGTTTTTCTTGGTCAGTGGTGATAAATCAAAAGAGAAGCCTAACATGAAAGAAAAAGCTATGAGTGCCATTTTCTCCTGCTATCTGTCAGATCTCAGCTCTCCTGGTTACACAGCCAGTTGTCACATACAGATATGATCCCCATAAACACGTCTCCACTCATGTAATTGTTCCAGAAAGGCACAAGCTCAAATACAAAGCATGTTCCCTACACAAAAATTACTACAGTCAAATAACACCCACTCTCCCACATGTACTAGCAGAGTATCAAAGCTCACGCTGTTTTCACTTTCCATATACATGCAGTTAAAACAGCTGTGGTAAAATGTTAAAGGTTTTAGACTTGCACTGAACTCACTCCAGTTTTGCACAGCAGGACAACAATTTCTTTCCTCAAGGCCTTTAAATGTAGCCAGCATGCAGATATTTAACCTACCTGCCTGAGGATCAGAGACTTGACAGTTATCTCCTTCTGTTTTAGACAGGACACATGCAGCAGCAGTATACCAGTCAAAAGAGAATGAACATTCACTCTCAGACATCAGGATCGGAGCACTTTCTAGATCACCTGGTATCATAAGAGCAACATGTTAAACTGCACACAGTACAGTCATTTGTCAGAATAACTGAATTTAAGGCTAGCAATAGACTCTTTCCCAACATCAGACTGGAGTTAACAGCTGAAGTACCTCTCCTTTAAAAACAAGGACCACACAGAATCAAAAATGCTTTACACGAGTTCCTTGCACCCTGTTCTTCCTTGAACTTAGCCAAGAGGAGGAAGATGGTACTCAGGAACAGACTGAACAGTATATCTCACACTTCCAGAGAAAGTTTCCTTTTATTTGCAAACCTGGAGCTTCGCTACAAAGCAATAGCTTTATCAGAAACTAGGGCATGACCTGATGACCAGCAACTTGGAAAAGTTATCTTCCTCAGGCTGAGGTACAAAAATCCAAGATTTCTATTTCCCTCATGGGCTATTATATGGAGATGAACAATATTAAAAAGTCATGCAAATGCTTCAGTTTTCTGTACACTGCAAGCAATTTAGAGACAAAATACATTTATTGGAAAAGACCTTTAAAGTATACAATTGCATTTCAGAATCAAGTCTTTCCCACCAAGACAATCTGGAAATAGAAAGTGCCTTTTCCTATGGCTTCCAGGTGTTTCCTTTAATCACTTACATTTTGTTTGATAGAATCTCAGCTTAAGAGATTGCTCAAGAGTCTTTAAAGACTACTTCTATAAAACATGAAAACATAAATGCAGTTACATTACTATTATCCTGGCAAACAAACCACATTTTTTCACCTTTTGTATACAAGAAAATTAGAGACATACAATCTATTTAGTACTCATGATTTAGTACTCATGCCTAGGAATACAAGATAACCTCCAGTTTTTAACTGGATCAAAGAACAGGGCCTTACCTGGTCTACATATAAGAGTGATGACAGTTTTGATTTTTTTGTTAACACCACAGCTATCTCCATTTGAATAGGTAAGTTGAATATTTTCTCCAACCTTCTTAGGTGGAGAAACAAATGTTCCAAGATTCTTGCTGTTTTTTTCTTCATCTACAAAGACAAGAAAGTCACTTTTTCTCCCCCCAGAAAGCATTTTACACCAAGAAGAAAATATTAGCCAGACAAATGGAAAGATGAAGTATAAAACTGTAAGGTTTTTATTTTTAGCCTTCCCAAAACTATACTACAAATCATGGAAGAGAGCATAATATTCTCTAGTTACAGAAAAGTCTACTAATATCACATCTTCTACAGTCTTTAGAAGCACAGTGAAAATACGCTCCCAACTTTTTTTTTCCCAAGTAACTGGAAACACTCAGAGCAGCAGCTTTCAATTTACAGAGGATTTGCAAAACCTTCAGCATCTTAAAGAAAAGCAAAAAAAGGACTCACCTACAGAGCAAATAGCAGCATCATCTGGGCAGCCGGAAGCTCCTCCTCTCTTCAGCACTTTATGGCAGACATTGATATAATAACGCTTCCGCCCTTCCTCTGAAAGATTACTGTCCACAGCTTCCCAGTTCTGGGCTGATTCTGAAATAGTCATTAAACTAGATGACATGTTCATAATCTTTCCATCCCCTGCACCCTAGAATGCCTTTTATCATAAAGAAAAATCACCCATCACAATTGTCTTTAAATGTATGTTTACTTCCCTAAGGTGCTTACTTAATTTGAGAAGAAGGAATTGATGTGTCCCAGAAAAACACTAAGAAAAGTGAAATTTGATTACTGTTCAACTAAGGAATTGCAGTGACACACAGCATATAAATTCAGAATAGAAGTAACTGAAAGCTAGTTTCCACTGCCATACCTGAACTGCGGACCAGAGGTGACAAATCATAGTGCTTTTTCTTATCAGCAACTCTGCAAAGAAGATCTTCTCTTTCTTTAACACATGCATATTTTGTATTCCAAGTGAAAAAATAGGTGCAGTCCACTTCACCAGTAAACACAGGAGTTCCCCTACCATCATTACCTTAATATTGATAACAGATAAACATAGGTAAGCTTTCCAGTGGGGGGAAGAGGAGAAAAGCAAGAACACTTGAGAATTAGCAAGGATAGAAAAACCACATGTCCTATGCAACAAGTTTTTTTTTTTTGTCTACAAACTGTTAACTAAGAAACCAGGTCCTCCCATGATTTAACATTCTTGACTGCTGAATGCAAATTAAAAAAAAAAATCAGTGCTATTGCACAACACAAAACAATCTTGCCACACAGAATTAAGTGCTTACTCTAACAGTATTTTTTGTATTAACTGTGGCTCAAAGCACGCATTCCTTTTAACATAAGGTATATTAGTAAGCTCAAATTTAGAGCAGAGTGATCAGAGCTCACACTCACCTGCTGTTTCATTGCACTCAAAGTTTATGACAGTCATTCTCTGAAAGCCGGAGCTACACGCATCCCCATTTGGATAAATTAAAGTGAGATCCCCATCAGAATATCTGAGTGAAAAGTCAGTTTTAGATAGAGACATAGGATCAAACAGTCACACTGCTCTCCATGCAACAGAAACCACTTTTTTTTTTTTAAAACACTTACAACATTTCACCCTAGGAGGAATAGAGTTGGTTGTTTGACACTAATATTGGTATTCCTACTGCAACAAAGGCTTCAAGTCATAGACTTTTGTCTACTTTTCATGAGATTTGTATACAGGTTCAAAAATATCCTAAAGTTATCCCAGCTTTAGTGGAATGTTTCTTCATATTAGTTTATTTCATGGCTATTCTCGCAAGTGGAAGAAGTTATACTCTCTAGGGAACACCTCCTACAGGCCCGCCACATGCATACAGACAGAACAGAAGATTATATCTACAAGAATTACTTCTGCTTTGCTATTATTCCAGTATGCCACTTGGGAACACTGAAGTTCTTAAAAAAGAAAGACACGCTAAATTCTAGATTCCAGTAGTCTTGAGTACAATTAACTCATACTCCTGCAAATGAGCTAGAGATGCTCTTTTGTTGATAACAACTTCTAAATATTGAACCCTAACATCACACTGCATGCAAAACTTGAAGAGGGCAAAAAAAGTACAATACAGTTTGCAGTTCTGATAAAGTCAGTAAAGTTTCTTCCCCATCTTGGCAATATACTGTTAATGTTTTTCTATACAACAGAGAGCAAAAATACTTGCATTCTGTATCCAATATTTCTTATACGACAAATAAGGGCACCAAAGTAGGAAACAAAGATCAGTCATTCAGACAACTCAGCAGAGCTGAAGAGCCCGACAAGAATTCTTTACACACCTCAGAGTCTGGTTCTCAAATCTTCCTGTCACCTTCTTCTGGTTATTCGAAGATTTTACTTGGCAAGCTGAAGCATATCTTGTGTTGTCCTTGCAGTTACCTGCACCAGTTCTCCCGCATACATTCAAGTAATAGTAATACTCCTCTTTATCATCTTTGGCTAAATATGGTGTGACATAATCTAAATAATTAAGAAAGAAAACAAGGAAAAATGTTCCAGTAGAACAGACATTAAGAAAATCTACTAGTCAGATACGACTCAAGTATCTAGAGAGGATATTTTTCCTTAACTCTACACATCAAACCAGAACACCAAATAGTAGTACCTCACACTGAAAATAAGAATAGTGAGTTTACCTGGAGATAGAGTGAGTGGTTTCAAGTCAATGGAGACGTCATGTTGCTCATTAGTTAGAAGACAGCTCTTACTTTCCAGGTAATCCCTGTGACAGGCATACTCAGTAACCCACTCAACTTCATACCGGCAATTTGTTTTTGCTGTGAGTTTGGGACCTGCACTCTGATACAAAAAGGATCAAAACTGCAATTACAAGTCTAGAGATATATTGACAGCATTATAGTCATTTAAGACCAGTAATTACTAGTTTCTTATACAAACTGCCTAAGACCTGCAAATGCTGTCTCTGGCCTCTCTGGTATTGAGAACACTAAAATAGCTCTTATTGATTATGTGACAAACTACTGAAAGCCTAAATAGAGGCAAAGCATCAGGCATTAGCAGAGTAATAACATACTAAAAAAGCACTTTTCCTGAACATGTTGGCAAAAGCAGAGAATACAGAACCACAACTGCTGACAACAGCTTGGACTGTATTTGTCTAAGGGGATTCCTTGAAGACAAGAACAGAGATCAAGCAATCCTTTAAAGGCAAAGCAGCCTTAAATAGTGGACTGTTATAGCAACTTTCATCCTGATTAGAGGAATATTAAAAGTATTTCAGAATTCTTTAGCCAACACTTATCAGATGTCAGGTAGTGAAATATTTTTGTACCTCTTCTTGCAGAAGTGAAATATTTAAAAACTCTGATTCATACAACTAGAACAGGCAGACAGGCAGGTAAGCATGAGAAAAGTTACAAGCACAGATAAGGTGAGCAATACCACTCATACTGCAAGCGCACAGCTATGCTGAGGTATTACAAAGTAGAGAAATCTTTATGGTCTGCTTCTTCAGTCATGAGTACGATACGTGGTACTTATCTAGGTCGTAAGGTATAAAAACATGAAATTCAAAGTTAGGAGAGCAAAAGTTCCTTCTTCATAACCCTACAACCAAAAGCATCACAACATCAAGCAGCAGAGCACTAACAATATCCACTCTGGTCCAATTAAAGGGGTGCAGGTTGCTGAAATTACCTGGCATCATCTCTAACAATGTAATGATACTGTACTGCCAAAACTGATTAACACTACAGACTAAAGTAAAAGGAGTTAGCCCGCTTAGCAAGTGATAAACTTCTGCCAAATACAGTTGCTAGCTAGTTTTTTTTCCCTGAAGGTCAGACTAATGGTTGTTTCTATGTAACTAGTTTCTTTATAAGCAAGTCCAGCCTCAATGAGAATGAAAACGCTCTCATTAGCCAACAAGGCTTCTGTGCCAAGGATTAACACTATAATAATTTCGTCCCCTTCATAGAGAAAAAAATTAACCCAGAATAGGACAACTAAATACATCAAAACACAACGAACACATTCCTGAGAAAATTTTACTCAAGTTCTTGTTTAAAGTTTCAAAAGACAGTTTTTCTACAGAGTATTTTGTTTTGAGTATCCTACACTCTCCATAAGCTGCAGAACTGAAGAATTTTCTGTTCCCTTTAGCTCTCAATAAAAGATAATGAACAACAGGAGTTAGAGAACAACCATTTAACACAAACTAAAACAGCAAAGTTACCTCTTCTCCTCTCTTAGATGGGCAAACAAAAGTGATTGTTACTGCTGGGTTATGGCCTAAGCAGAAATTCAGCTTTTCATCATTGTATGTTCTCTCATAACTCAGTATCAGCCTAGAAAAAGAAAAAGGCAAATCAAAAAAACAAGACACTACATAAAAGAATACTCTTGGAGTAACATCTATCCTCTGCAGAATACACCAAAACAGTCCCACTTCTGTAAGTTACTTTTACAGGTGTCCTTACTTCTTTCATCTTAGAGTTCAGCAAATAACTACTAAGAGAGTCCCAGAATTATTTAACATAGCGTCATTCTGCACAGCAGTTAAGATGGCAAGTTACAAGACAGGGAGCATATAATAGAAGGAACTTGGCTGATAGTTATAAAAATAGCTTTCTTCTCAGACTGCTGGAGAGCAGGTGCAATAAACAGCTCTGCCACTTGGAAGCAAAATATAGTAATAATGTTTTGCCACGTTGCTAACTCCATATTTAGAATTTCTTTCCATCCAGCTCCCAGAACTGAGAGTGAGGCAAACTCCTTAGCTTGCTGACAGTAGCAAGACAACTGGGATGGATCACACAAGCTGGGAATAGGACAAGGAAGCACAGCAACTGACAGAAAGACAAATGAGAAGTTGACATGAGCAAGGAAACAAGGAAACCCATACAACTTCCCAAGCAAGTGCATCAGTCCTGTGCAATCTAACAGGCAGAGAACAGCTTCAGGAGAAGCAACTATCTGGCTTCAGCTTAGCTGCACCTCCAACTGGCCTCTCTACATCACAGGATACAGATATACCCAATCATGTTACTCCTTTTCCAGGCCACACGATGACTTCTCCCTCAAAAAATGAAGAGCCACATCACTGAAAGACTAGAGACTTTGGTCACTTTGTTATAAACTCTGGTCTGTTTTGGTTAGGCTCGGATATGACCATGTTAGATCTCGCAAACAACATGAGATTTTTTTCATTTTATTTTATTTTTAGCTACACTTACAACATAAAATGCAGCAACAAGAACAGGGTCAGCATCAATAGAAGTTTCTACTATTCAGAAGTTATCCTTCAGCCTCATACAATAGGCAGACAGAGTTAAAATTCATTCCTCTGCTTTGAGAGATAGAGCACTACTTTTGCATTGTTCAGAGAAGCCAAGCGATTTTGTAAAGAGAAGTCTGAGAAGGAAGAAAGAAATCTGTTCCATTATGATAGTATAATGGAACATCTACAAAAAGACTGCTCTCCCAGTATTTGAAATAATAGTCTCTGCGAATGTCTCAAAACTGAACTTGCATCAACGGCAACGTGAGTCTTCTGAAGTTAATGTTTTATCCCATCCAGATGACTGACTGGTTCACAGAAGTATCATCAGATAAAATCAATCACCTGTCTTTGTCATGATATTTCAGCTGATCCTGTGGACGACCAACATCATATGCATGACCTTCATGTATCAAGCACGCTGCACTGCCAGCAGGGCAGTTTATGGTTTCTCCACTTGATCTTCCTGTTACAGAACACAGAAAATGAGATTCAGCATCTAGGCTCAGCTCTGCAGAGTACTTTGCCATTCTATCTGCAGGCACACTGTTTTATCTCTTTCTAAAGATGCTTTTAAAACAGATTACATCAAGAACATGAAACTGGCAGACAAAATCTGAAATGCTTGTGATATTCAGTGGGGGGAAGTTCATGCTTCCCTGTTTAGAATAGCAAGTTCACCTTCCTTGCTGCAGTTAGTTTCCAGTTGCTAGTACAGCAGTTGGATACATATAGCTTTAACAATTTCTAGAAGTGTTCTAACTACTTACTCCCCCCCACACGCCTGCCACAACAATGAAATAATTCCAAGGAACAGGTAACCCCTTCCTATCCAGAAAGGATTTTTTCCCCTCCTTTGTTTTTTTTAATTAATTAGCTTATTCAAAGCTGTGAGCAAAGCTGCAGACTTTTTTTTTGTTGGGTTTGTTGGGTTTTTTCTTGTTTTGTTGGTTTTCTTTATTTTAAATAAAACAGACCTGCTACTAAAACTGGAAATATTATGTTAAACTTCTTGACACGGGCACAAAATACAAATTTAATTGCACAGATTAAGAAAAATCACTGCAAGTACACAACTAAACTAGTATTTTCAACAAGATTCAAAGGAACACTTCTGCTGTTTTGATTTCTTACACATGTAACTCCCAATTGACATGAAAGTGCTAGCTAGTCACTGCTACTTACCAAAGCACCTCAACACTATTTTAGCTGCACCACAGGATATTCAAATATAACAAAACAGCAGCTTGAATGGGAGCCCAAAGCAAGTAATAAATTCAGTTCATAGCACTTCTTGTGCTCTATCTGGGTCTTATCTGACAGCAAACAGAAGCAGCTGCAAGACTGGCTCCAGAGGAAGAGCTTAAGTAAACGTCTCTAACAGTCCCCACCCTTTCAGAAGAGGAGTATCTCTAAACAGCTCAGTAGTTAAAGAGTGCAAGATGCAGCTTCACAGAAAGCAGCCTTCAAATCACCAAAAATAGTTTTGAAACAGAAGCACAGCTCCTAAAACACTAGTATTTGGTCACAGGACAGCCTCAACTGGAAAACTACCATACTGGTAGAAATGTACATACTGACAGGTAAAACAAGCAGGTGTTCACACCTATGTCTCTGCAGATGTTTATAAACAAGGAATCATCATCAGAATCGTCCACCAAGTAGTATCCTGGAACTCTGATGAGAGGACTCAAATCATGTTTCTTCAAGTCTTCATCAAATACATAACAAGGCACCTAAAAGAAAAGTTACATATAACTCATGCTAATGAGGTAGAGAAGTTATGAGCAGGCATTTATAGAACTACTTCAATAAAAGGAAAAGGCTTTTACTTCTTGAAGTACTTTCAGACAGATGTAAAGCTAGATATGCTGACTAAAACAAAGCACCCAAAGTTAATCAGTTCTGCTCAAGCTTTTACAGGAATTTTACTATAAGCCACAGAGGTAACAAAGAAGGTCAAAGAGCTGCTTAAAATCCTCAGCCCCACCAACCTTCAACAGCTGTTTTATATGCCTATGAAGAAGTTTGTTGAGGTTGTTGGCATTTGTTTAGGTAGGAGGGTTGGTAAAGTAAAATTACCAGAAGTGTGAAAAGTAAATTCTGTACGGATAGTACATAGATTACCTCTTTCACGGGTTTAAACAAGTTTTTCTTGCAAGCAACAAAGGTCCTCCACTCGAAATAGTGTATGCACTCTGTTGCTGTTACAAATTCAGGGGTACCCTATTTAAAGGAGAAAAAAGTTAATTACTTGAAAAACAGACTTCAATTTTATATATATACACTCACATGTATACACACAGTCAGCATTAAAAACTAAGAATATGATACGTAAGACCAAAGACAGACATTCTTGTTAATAGCAAGATCATCGGGTTGTGTGTTTTCAGCAGTTTTGTTGATAAATGCAGCAAAATGCAGACTGCCAAAATCCTTCTCACTCTGCATATGTAAGCTCTCAAATTAACATGTGCCAATCTTAACATGCAGTAATTGTACTGTATCTTTCAGAAGCACTCACTATGCCAACTGCTATTGGCAGGAGCACCAGCCACAACTACTAAAAATGAAAACACCAAAATAAGCGTCTGTAAAGAAATGAACAGCAAAGCAATGTGTAGTTTACCATTTCTTTATCTTTCATCCCACAAAGAAGGCCAATTAGCAAATTCTTCAGCTACACAGAATGGATATCTTTGACGTCCACTACTTATAGGCTCACATTAAACACATCTGCATCTATTTTGAGACAAGAATTCTACCACAGTTCAGGGCTGGAGACTCAACTGAATGACTGCTAACAAAAAGACAATCACATTTTTTCCACTGTTCTTTCATCACTCCAGCTAGAAACACTTCAGCCTATTTATTCTCCCCTCCATTTAACCTTGGAGACAAGTTGTTCCAGACCCTATGACTATGTCATATGGACAGTGTCAAAACTATGCTAATTAGAAGTTTGCAGGCAGTTATGATGTGGTATTACAGGCAAAGTTGTGCAAGAATTTTTTTTTAAAGAATCATCTGCTAAAACAGCATGGGAAGCATTTAAACCTCTCTAGTACACAGCAAATTGTTTCAAATGGTTATGTTTCCAATAGAGGGGAGTGCAATAGTGTTCAGCATGTCCTACAAGAGCAGCCTTAATAAGTATTAATCAGATACACAAATACACACACTGATCATGATCTGTATAGAATATCAAGCTGTGGTATCAGTTAAACGTTTGTTAGCTGCAACCCCAACAGCACAAGATCAACTGCATACAAACACTTTCCAAGTATTGGCACTCACAGTGGATACCCATTAACAATTGTGCCTCTAGAAGCCCAGCTGATGTACAAGCACTAAGTTCAGCTATATGCAGACAAAATCTAACACTTACTATACTGACCCACACCAGAGGTCAGTCACGTTCTTCAGTACTGACAATTTAGGTTCACAGCTTCAGCACAGCCAGTACTGAAAAAATAGCTCTTATTGTTACAGCACACAGTTGACTCATTCATCAACACTGCATTAAGTGCAATCCCTTTGAAAATACTGAAGACCCAGAAGAGTATGGGATCAGAGCTAAGCTACAGATCTGCAATTATTTTCTAGCTTGACTGTATTTTGGAAGCTGCTTTGGATCACAACCTTAATTTGGCACTAAACTGTAACTGGTTCTTCCTTAAGTATGAAGCTCAGTAATTACTACACCCACTAGAACAGCAAGTCTCCCTGCAAAGCAAGTTAAAAGGACATGCTACTTCTACTGAAGATAAGAATAAGTGATTTAAACTTACCAGTGTTTTCCCACACAGGAAGTTGATGTTGCTTTGAATTTGGTGCTGACTGCCTTGCTGGGAACATTTATTTGTAGTGTTGAATACCAGAAGAGTTTTAGAAATTTCTCGCAAAGTTAAGCTACCTGGGGTATGAAAAGAAAGAAAAGAATTTATCACAGTACTACGCCTTCACAGAAGCTCACGAAGACTTCAGGGTCAAACATAGAGCAGAACAAGACATACCAGTCTACTTGAAAACAGACTTAAACAGTACAACTGAAGACTTTCCTTGCAATTCTTGTGATCTTTAAAATATAGGTCCCAGTTAAGACAGTATTTGATCTTTCTAATCACTTCTACTTCCTCAAAGATTTGTAATCAAACACTTATGAACTAGTTTCAAGTATCACAATTCACTCCTTCCTCCCAACAGCTTCTATCAGCTTTTCAGCCTTTGTGCCTTCTATATGTATAGTGTCAGCACAATATCAGAGAGAATCTACTTAATGAAGAACTCAGTGGTGGACACACAGGCTGTACTGGAATTACCTACTGCTGAACCCAGGACAGTCCCGCTATATCAGCGCAGGCCCTCCTGCAGCTCTCATCTCCTTCAGTGCAGCCCACATGCTGCATGTAGGCTGGGGTTAGTGATACATCACTGCATGTCCCTCTTTACCCAGCACCTCACAGGAATGGAAAAAGTGAAGCAATTTCAAGCCATGTCAACAACCAGCTCAATCCACTGAAATGTTTCTCTCAAGCCTACTTTGGTCAGCATTAAATACCAACTCCTTTTAGATGTAGCATGCTAACTGCCTATTTTTGCAGGTAGATTTCGCTGCTGCAGCACATTTGGGTTGAAATAGAGAGCACTATAAAATGCCAGCATTACCTAGCTTCCTCCTTTTTGTTTTTACGCCTGTGCTAAAGAATGACAAATCAGCCATCACTGCAGACAGCAGCTTTGTGTTTAGGTCTCTTGCCGTTTCACAGAACTCAGTCCAGCCTATTATCTCCCCATTTAGAGCAGGAAGAGGCAAAAACAATCAAGGCAACATTTCACAGGAATACCATTCCAGCCACTGTTACCAGCTGCAAGCGCTTTCCCTAACAATGTGTTCTTTTGCTTCTTTCTATCAGATTCCTCAGCACTATCATCCAAATCACTCCTGCAGACTGGAAAAAGATATATTTGTGATATTTCTGATAGCTATCAATTACTTTGAAACATAGTAGGGAGAAATCTACTATAGTCATCAAGCCAAAATGGTAGCAATCAGAATGACAACTGGACAGCCAATCAATACAACAGTTCACCAGTAGAGCAGGGTGTGTCTATTGATGCTGTGTTACAGAAGGCCACATTAAGATGCAACACCTAAGCAGCCACTCACAGTATCCATCATATAATCGTGGCAACAAGATAGACAGATTCCAAACTATCTGCCTTCTCAAGGTAAGGTACGTATGGAGACTTGTCAACCCAGAAGAAAGGTAGCATAGAGTAAACCTGCACATACCCATGGATTTGTATCAGGCTGAGAACCTGCTGCAGTTACATATGTTCACATAACTGCAGCTCAGAACCAGTTCTTCAGCACCTAGAAGCTACCACAGTTCCTGCCTTTCCTGTGTCTTGGCACTCATTAACAAAACATCATCTTTGAGTTTTATGGCTTCCAGTACTGATGCAGATTCGTGTTTTTTCTTCACTAGGAGACTAGAGGGAAAGAAAGCAACAGAACTTTCTAGTCAAAAGAGCACTGCTTGAGGACTCAACTTAGGATCCCGTACACATTAGTTTTCTCCCAGTTTTGAAAACGTTACACTGCTCTAAAGGTTTTGTTAGCTGACTCCAGTTTCCACATTTAAAGTTATATTCAAGGCATATATAAACAAAAACAAGCAAAACCAGTATGTCTTGCTTAAGTCAGGCTAATATGATTACTTTCCCTCCCCTGTGAATGCTTAAATCTAGTTTAGGAACTAGCTAAGGTTTTAACATAACTCTCTTCAGTTGCACATTACACATAACGTGAGGAGGAACAGTCTCAAACCACCCAAACCACCTCCTTGCACTTTCAGCTTCCCATGAATGTCATTCCAGAACACCAGTTCTGGAGCAACCTTTACCTCTTCAGTCAATCACATTTCATCATTATTTTAGAGATGCAGTCCTTCCATTAAGCATCACTGAAGTCAGCTACTACAGCTTACCAAAAAATACAGTATGAGATACACTTTACAAAGTTGTACTAGATCAATAAAGGCACTGCCCACAACAACTTTTACTTATTTATTCCTCAGTCTTTTCAGCTGCTTGGAAGGAGAAAGACTATTGTGGAAGGCATCCAAATAGCTGTCCATAAGAAAGAGATAGTTAGGTGGCAGCTATCATTCCACTTCCAGCTACAATAGAACTGGATGAGTGCAAGTTTCACCACTCAAGTTATTATGTAATGTTTCTGTTTTTAATTGTAGTAGGTCTACTACAATTAAAAGTAATTTAGAATTACTAAACAGAAGTCAAGTCATATCAAGTTCAGATGGTGCCACGTCATTTCCACAGTCTTCGACATTCAAGAACTTAGCATTCTGCCCACACCTTGAAAGCTGCTAGTCAGTCTGTCAATAAATCTGAAGGGCATGTTCCAGGACAAGTCTTTGGGATCTGAGTACCAATACTGGTATGTCTCACTGACACAACACTGACCACAAGACTTCCCATAGATAGTATCATTATAGTCATGGACCATACAGCCCTAATCCCTACCAAAGTTCTACATATCAGTCCCTACAGCTGTTATCTCTCCCATAACTAATATTTAAAAGTACATCTACTGTTTGCAGTGAACACATCTTTCTGCAAGAAAGGAAAAGAGATCCAATTGAGCTCATATTGGAATTAAGTTTACTACTTAATAGATTTTGTTAACTGGCACATTGCTCCTCATTCCCCCAAATCAAAGCCCTTCAGCTGGACTTAGTCTTAGACACAGAAGTAAGTTGATACCAGCTAGAATTCTTTAAGACAGGTATGTGGCTTAGCTGTCTTAGCCAAGAACCTACACTGGGAATCCATCTGTCTAGACCTGGATTCCCCTTCTCTCATTAAGAGAGACTTATTGACAAGAAGCTTGATAATCTGCCAGCATGACCTCAGTGTGATTGTGCTGAAGCTTCAATACAACCAAGGGCAGTATGTTGATGAATGGCAGATGCCAGTAACATGTTTCAAATCATGAACAAGAACAGAACTGGCAATCTGGACAGAGACAAAATAAAACTCAATTTCAGTGTTAACTGTACTGCCTTGATTCCCTAGTTTATTGCAAGGTGGTTAAAAAAAAATCTTGTGCAGTATTTGTGGCTTAACCGTTGAGTCGTTTCTGCTTGGCCTCTTCAGGACCAGGTTATAATGACTGTTGCTCAGTTCTTTTCCATCCAGTAGCAATCAGGTGATAAGACACTCTGCTTTGCATAGAGTGGAATATTTGCTACCATTCAGTTATGACACAGCTCTGTACTCCTCTTTTCAAAAAGGAAATGAGTCACACCTACACAGGCCTCTAGATCTCACAACACTTCCCTGGAGAGAACAATAGTTTTCAAACTGCACTCAGGCAGACACATTTCAGTCCCATTACATAGAACATGCTAAAACTGTAGCTCACGTGCTCTTTCACTTTGTGATCCACCTGCAACTGAATGCTCAGAGGCGAGATTCCACTTCAGTAGGAAACAAAGTTCTCACATATTTTGTGAATGGAAGACTCTGTCACACATTTAAGTTCAGATGGCAGTTTTGTATCTAACCAGTCATTCCAGAAAACTGAGGCTTAGAAATAGTGCTCTACAAAAAGATAATAAAGCCATGAGTTGAGACATGCTTTTTACTCATCACACAGTGATTTGAAGTTGCAATTAGTTTGAAAAGCACTGATTGTATCACTATAGCTAAGGGAGAGGAGTGGCTTACTAGATGCTGTCTGCATGCACGTGAGAATCCTTTTTCTCACTATCTTCCAGCAATCCAAGCTTATACACTTTTACTGATGAGTCAGAGCTTCTCTTAAGAGCTGTCTGCCAATGGAACGCAAGATTGGTCAACACAATCAAATTCACATATCAGATATGCAGGAACAAAGAGGTGGTCTGAAAAGATAGCACTCTACAGAAAGCTACCACATTACTGTTAGAAGTAGCTATCAGCTATCAGAAAGCCTCTTTGTTGGTTTCAGCAGCTGAAGAAGTAACCTCTAAAGTGAAAAATACCTATGAAAATAAGCACACAAGTACTATTCAAACTATGAGCTGTTTCTAATTGAGGACACCACGTGCAGGCATGTGCCCTGGAATACGCCAGTTTAACACTTAACTCAGCACCCAGTAGTCCACCACAGACACTTAGGATATCAAGGACATCTCAGGATTACCACAACAGCACCAGACTTGATAAACTGAAAAATGGAGGGCTGTACATCATTCACTTCCTCTGCGTCTAACAACCTAAAGACATGCCAGAAAGTTAGCAGTACTCTAGACTGCATGACATAGTGACCTAACTCTGTCAAAGAGCTAATATAACATCAGACTAGTTTGTAATTAAGTTTTTCCAGTGTTTAGTATCAAGCTTCAAACAAGGGTATGCACACTGTATATCCTACCACAAGTAGACATGTTTATTTCTGCTTGAGATAGCGTGGAACTACGCAGCACTAGGTCTCCAGTAGTGAGACCAGAAAATAAGTTTCACTAAATTATGTGAAATTATATAATGGATTACACATTAAACCTACAATAGAATGAAGTTCTGAACTGTTTCAAAAAGAAAATCTTTACTAATATATTAAGAAGTTTGGAAAAATACAAACAGGGCCTTGCACTAATATGACTCTGAAGTACCTACAAGGAAAGACACTTCTTTACTTACCTACTGACATATACGTTCTCTTATCAACATCATAGGCACAGACTGCACTTGATCTTCCACATTCTTCAACACCAAAACAGAGGTTAATTTTATAAAGCACACGTTTGTCTGTATCAATTGCTTCCCACGTGTAGCTGAAAAGAAAAAAGCCTGTCAGTTAGTATCCACATTTATGCTGTCATCCTCTAGACACCAGTCCCCGCAATCACCAAGTTGTAAAGCTCAGTGTACCATTACATCAAGTTCCCTATTTATGTTCTAGATCATTAAGTATCAGAAACAGTTGTTACTGAACCAGGGTCAAGAGCTAAACCAATTTAGCCACTTGAGAAGCATATATTTCATCTTTCTTGCAACACCCAACCAATCACTTTTTCCCCTCAAATCCCTGCAAAGGCTGCTCTGAACAGGTAGATTACAGGCGGTGAGTCCTTTTCCTTGAAAGCCTGATAAACTTGTCAAACATCTTGGGCAGGCAGCATGCAATTGTCCTTCAGCAATATCTAACAATAGTGGAAGTCTAAGTCTCAGAGGACTAGAGCAACAGTCCACATCCCATCCCCATCAGCTGCAGATCCATTCACCTTCAGTGAAAAATTAGACTTAGAAGTATTATTTGCATCTTTCTGTCTGAATACTGTAAGAATCTTAGGACTTCACTGCAACCTTATGCGTTTTTCATGCAACTCAATATTCAAAGGACAGTTCCTGTAGGGTAACATCAGAAGCTGGAAAGCAAGCAGAGCTATCTATGAGAGATTCAATGAAAGTGACCATGCTAGTAAGGTACAACCACATCAGGAAAAAAAAAGAAATCAGCTGACCAAAATCTGATAGAGGAACATAAGCCTCTGGTTAAACACAGTGGGGAATAAATCAGAGTAACAGAACATAAGAAATAAAATGTAGTGTAGTAGCTCCAAGGACACATTTAAGGACTAAAGACACATTTCCCTCCTCACAGTCACTGAGATCACAGTGCTGATATGATCAGTTATACAACATGGCACCACCTAAGTTAGGACTATGCCCAGCTCAGCTGGTCTGGAGTCAGAAGCTCCTCAGACAGGCTGGTTTACTGGCATAGTGCACCATCCAAGCTCCACCAGGAAGGCTCAGCTCAGTAAATAATCACTATCATCAGCTTGGCTCAGCTACATCTCCTCTAGTTCTGGCAGGAGCATGCATCCTGGGGATTATACTGATTTTTGCAGTGTAAGAGATTCCCTAGCTTTTCTATCTGAAATGGCAACTTCATTAGGATTTAATGCAGATTCATCACATCAGGAAACAGAAGACAACACAGCAATTTATTAGGTACTCGTGAAACTTACAGCTCACCTAGGGTTTAATGAATCTGATCCTGCACTACAGGTTAGTAACAAGTCTAACAAGGAACCAGCTTTCCTCTCAGCCATCAACAGACCAGTTGATCAGAAGGTTCACCCTTACAGTATATCTACCTTGATCTCTAGCTCATAGGTGCTACGTCCCTCAGTGCTGCCATATCCCAGATCCCCCCCCGGAAGAAAACCCTCTCTTGTTTTACTTTGGAAGCCTAATTCCTGGCTAAGGATAAGACAGCAGCAGCTCAGCTACTTTGTTCTAGATTTCTGAATCCCTCAAGATCTCCTCTGAAATCCATCGTACTGCATCTCTAATCAAAGTGTCAGCAGTAAAATACCACACTGCTTTCTGTTTAATCACTGACTATAGGGTTCTTGGCTTCCTTGTACTACAGCAGCCTTAATTTTAATCTGCTAATGGCTGGAATAAGTAGAGAACAAGTAGAAATGGTTTCAATTCACAGAAGGAATTCTTGATTCTTATTACAGAATTAAAAGGCTCAAAAAATAACATATCAAGCTCTAAGTCATACCCGAAACACTAATAAAAACTACTTTTTATCAGCATGATTAGACTCGAGGACTGTGTCTCAATGCTAGACAAATACCTGCCGCTATTCTTCCCTCATAAGTAGTAGAACTGACATTTTACAATCATGCTGATTAGTTCTCTGAGCCACTGTCTTGCATTTCTGAGGAGGTCAAAAACAATGCCTATAGGAATTAAGCTATAGTACAGGAAAAAAACCAAGAAGGGATTGCTGTATAACAACATATGATCCCCCTCCCCATAACTGGAAGAACTTGGTTCTGGCTTCAAGGGCTCTGAAGACTGAGATCAAGACTAAAACACATTCTTTCCCTCCAGGAAAATGTATATTTCAATCTCAATACAATTTCCTCAAATACAATGCTGGAAAGTTAACATTCTGCTGAAAAAAATCCCAAAGGCTCCAGTGCTCTTTTTTGACCAATTCTGAAAGACTACAGAAGTAGTAATATATAATGCTAAAGTGATAAATTGCTGATCAAGTAAGTGTGGCTATTCAGCACTTTTAGATGATTAGGAAACTAAAATTTATTTTCAAATTGAACTAGAATCTGACTCCTTCATACAACTGAATTATCATCTATTAGAGATTAGTTTCTTGCTCTTCCAGCTCCATGTTATGAAAGAGGAGAAATCAATACCTTTAAGTCAGTTTATCAGCATGCCAGAAAAGAAACAAGATGAGAATGCTTCCAAAACAGAAACAAAACAGCTCCTGAAGTGAGCCTCTCTGTTCCTTCAGACCTCTACACAAGTAGTCTGAGGAATTTTTCTAAACAATCCAGGGAAGTAAACATGGGATTTCTTGCTTCATCATGTTCCAAACCACACCTCCAACAGTACACACAAGCGAACACCTAGAGTTGTTTTTGAGTACCATCACTTTCAGGGAAGCTCAAGAACCTTTTCTTTAAAAGACAGCAGGAGGAGCAGGGCTTATTGGTGCATTGGACTCACTGAACACACCAGAGCATAACAGCAGGTTGGATACCATCTAAGCAGCTGTTCTAAACTCAGATGCAAAATACACATTCACAGTGAAAGTCTGAACAATTTCCTACACAAGTAAAGCTCCTGACATTAAATCAGTCTGGGAATAGGTTCACATACAGCCCTGCAGCACATGCTCTACTTTCCAACAAATACAAACTGATCTCTGCTGCATCCTGTAATGGAAACAATCTGTTCACAGCCTCACCGCCATCCCAACTGTAGCCCATTCACATGAAGGGCTCTCCTCCAGCTGCTCAGAAAGTGCCTCCTGCCTGCAACTGTCATGGTATCACCCTTCCCAACCTGCTCTAGCCAGTTTTCCAGCTAGCAGAGTAACTTCTGCTTATGACATCCCAGATTCACCTCAACTGAGCCATTATAGCAACAGCTCTAGCAAGACAGAAGTGGTTACAGAGGTGAGAACACAAGCAATTAACTCACTGCCTGCTCTGGGCCACAGTCAGAACTAAAGGAGCAAGCACAACCTGAGAAAAGTATGTCACTTCCAAAGCATCAGCTGCAGACAAATGTGAACTTAGTTTGTACTTAGCAGAAAGTAAGAGCTGGAAAAGCCCTCAGTACCCCTGTACCAGTAACCAGGCTGCACAGGTGGACAAAGTTCATGCAAACATGCAGCACAGGCCGAGCCCCAAGCAGTCCTAATAAGAGCCACAGCACAGCTGATGTGATATGGAGGTGCCCTCTGCCCTGTGAGTGCAAGAAAGCCACCTGCTCACATACCACACCACTGAAATGGCCAGTTCTGGTGCAGTTCATAAGTATACGTCCTGAAGAAAATTGCAAAATAATCATCTCTGCTGAAATCATAACATGATGCCTTGTTTACAGATAACATCCGCCACAAACTATCTCACCATTAGAGGCCCAAAATACATCTCTGCTTTCACCTTCTGGGACAAGTTCTCCTCTTGTTTTCCCTCCCCATCTCCATTGGTTATTTCTGGCCCCCACTTACAACACAAGCCAGATCCAAGAACTGCTCTGCCTCAGAGTTAACAAAGTGACAACAACAGGCATTGCGCAGCAAGCAGAGGAGGCCAGGCTAGCTCCATGCCTTGGCACAAGGCAACTGCAGCAGACAGCTCCCACTGAGGCAGAGCCAGGCCTGGCTGAAAGCAGCTGTGTAAACAGCAGCAGCAAGCGCACAGACTAGGACTGCCTGCAGCTCAGTCTTTGGTCATTTGTGGAGCCAGGGGTTGGACTTGATGATCCTGGTGGGTCCCTTCCAACTCGTGATATTTTGTGATTCAAGATGCCAAAGCAATAATGAAGCAGTGAAAAAAATCCTTTCCAGCAAATTGTAAGGCCTTTATGCATTCTGTTTATATGCCTTTTGACTAAAGAAAGAAGCAAAAGGAGCATGAAAAAGGGAAAACATATGAGCTTCAGAGAGTCTGGTTTACCTTGTGAATGAGTAGCTCTGGCACTGCAAGTTGTCAGATTTCAACAAGAAGGCGAGCAGCTGCCAAAGCACATGCACCAAGTTAGAGCCACAAGCTGCTTCCAGGTCTGAGTACTGGTAAACCACCTCAAAGGAAACAAAGCTCTCAACAGACCAGGGCTGCCTTTCTCACAACCATGCTGCACTTCCTGCTTCTTCAGTTCCTAATGGAAGGGGAGTATCCTCTCCCCAACAGCTATAAAGCAGTTACAAGAAAGCAGACATTGCTATCCAGGCATACCATACCAGCTGGTTTTCTTGAAAAGGTATGATGCAGACCTCTCAACTCAGAGATAAGGTAACCTAAAAAATCACTGAACTATACCTCATTAGACATCCAGCAACTTCTCTGCTGGAATACATTGCAGGAACTGACACCTCTGTGAGCCTACTGCAAGCAGGCTCAACAAGCACAAGCAGACAAGCTTGGGAACAGCCTCCAGAATGATCCACCCTAATCTTATGCCAGCAACTTATATCCACTACTTCCCACTTCCCATGGAAATCATTATGAGGTGTGGCTAACGTTCTAGCATAAACATGCACGGCACAAACTTGTTCCTCTACCAAAGACATTTCTCTTTACAGAAAGAGAGAGCTCAAATAGCACAATGTAAAAGCTATCACTATGCCTCAAGAGATGAAAAAACACTGATTTATCACTACCCATGCTTAGCTCTGCTCAGGTTTACTCATCACTTTTTCCAGCCACCACACACAGCACATGTCTCCGGGCAAGGTTTTATGCATCATGCATAGCAGTCTTACAACTACACCACAAGCTATTCAGCTTTCTCAATCCTTGCACACACTTTGACATTGCATCTTTTGTGATGCAGTCTAATTCTCATCCACTACGTCATGTTACAGAATGCATAAAAAAAAGAGATAGCAATTTGAAGCTCAAATATATAAGAGATATTGAAGCACATGCGCTGAGAAATCATATTTAAGCCACTATAGTGGCAGCTTCCCAGGCATATGAAGCAATCATGTACATACACAATTAGGTCTGGTAATGAGTTACTTATGACATCTCCCACTTAAATGTGGGAAAGCACTTACGGGAGCCAAGCAAGTTCAGCTATAGGTCATCTTTGCCCAGCACATGCTCCTGCACTGAGGCTACGCCAAACACTAAACCCAAGGCTTCTAGTGGTGTGCAAGAGCACATATGTGGTTTCGTGACAAATACTGAAAGGAGCATACATACAGTTCTGTTCACGTCAATGGCCAAGTGCGTTATTTCAAAATTCAACATTAGGCTTTCAACTCGAAAGTTAGTAGTTCTGCCTAATAACAGACCTGTGACTTAGAGCTATTCTGAGTATTCCTTTCACTCAGAATTCTAAATTATAAGATCTATGTACTGACTCTCATCCTTGCACAGGAGACAAACATTATCTGTCACCAAATAATCTACACTAGAATAGACTCAGCACAGCAAAGGAGCTTGCTTACTTTTCCTACTATACCACCACATTCAAAACATACCCTGTATTTGCTTTTTTTCTTTTAGAGAGCATAAGACAACTGTCAAGCTTCATCTTGTTGATATTGAAGCACACTGATTTAAAGAACCTGACTAGTAATTTCCTATATCCAACCAAACTCTTTGTATCATTTCCCAGATTCTGACATTGCAGCAATCCCAGATGCACCTCAACACAGAAGATAAACTCTGCCTCTATTTATAAGTCACACAACAGCACAGTCAGCTTTAGGAGAGCACAAGCTGTGACATTCAACAAAGTTTCAGCAAAGGAAAGCTTTTTCCTATTTCCACTTTCTTGTCCTTTCTCTAGACTGTCCACACACACCCACAGTAAGGCTGCAAGAAACAAGCAGCGTAAGCTATCCAAGGTTTAGGCAGTCTCACACTACAGTTCCAACAGAAAGATCTGTCATCTTTCTTTCCCACTACTAGAACCCAGATTAGGTGCCTCTCTGCTACTACTTAAAAGCAGAATGACCTCTATTCTCAACTCCAAGTTTTTCCTTCCTCAAGCAGCTTTTGACATTCAGGCACTAAAGAGCCTGCTGCAGCTTTACCAGCCTAACCAAAGAACCCAAGACACAAGACAACAGTTCTTGTAAAACTAGTCAAAATCTTGCCTAAGGCAGCATAAGAACAGATTAGACTGGCCCAAGAGCTATCCTGCAGAGCCACATCAGATCTTACAACTTACAGATGAGACCTCAGAGAATAGCGTAAGCGTTCAAGCCACTTAACCACATCATCCCCCCCATGGTGTAGCAGTTTTCCTGCAGAACAGATCTCCACAGCATCTTCAAGAGCTTGCAGTTTGACAAGTTTGGCTTTTCCTTTATCTTTTCTACAATACTAGCCAGAAGTCTTTTGAAGCTTTTCTTTAAAAAAACGAAAAGAAAGAGAGAAAAAAGCCAGGCAGGACAGTCAGCACCGATTTTCAGAGGCAAGTGTGTCCCTCAGTGGCAATCCTAAAAGTTTCTCTAGTCACAAACAGACATGCAACAAAACCAAGGCAGACGCTGACATGACTTAATACTACTCTCAATATAGGAGCTGTTTGAGAATCAAATCATTTAGGGCAATTAAAGAAGGAAAAAAAAAAAATACACTTTAAAGCCAGAGGAATTGAGAATTTGAGAGGCACAATAGCTTCTCACTTCTGTCCCAATTTCACAATTAGGGCAGTTACCCCACAGAAGCATTTTATGCTCATGGGTTAACCTCGTAAGAACAGCTGTCTTCTCCCCTTCTCCCTTTCATCACTTTTTTTTTTTATCGCTGTGCCCGCAGATTCTGCCATTCGCTCACGTGACCCAGACCACCTTCGTGCTGTGCTCAGGGGCTACACTGCTGCTTGCCCGGTAACGCTGGGGAAGATAAAACACTCCTGTAAGTACCACAGCGTAGCCTAGCTCATTACTGAAAAAATGAGGACTAGCAAGACATATTTCCCAAACCAGATTCCCAGCTGAACGCATTACCGGAACAGGCCAAAACACGAAGAACAGTCATTCCCATGCAGCGGCTCTCGTTATTCAAGGCTTTCGCAACTAAATCAATTACTGGTACGCGGCGGTACCCCCGGCAAGAACCCGGCTGGGAGGCGACGTACGGCGCAGCGGACGCAGGCACGCTTCCCAGGGGAGAGCCGCACGCCGCAGCCCGGCCCCGGCCGCAGCTCCCTGCGAGGGGCGCTCGCGGCGCCGCCCACCCCGGCACCCGCAGGGCCGAACGCGGCGCTACGCCCGCGGACAAACGTCGGCACCGCGGATTCGAGCCCCTCCCAACCCCGCGCCCCTGCCGCCCACCTGCACAGACTCTGGAAGAAGGGCTCGTCCAGGGCTACGGGGGCCGCACTGCCGTCCCCCAGCGGCAGGCAGAGGAGAACGAGAAGCAGCGGGGCGAAGGCAGCGGCGCGGGCCATCGCGGCGGCACGAGCCGAGCCGGGCCGAAGCGGCTGCCCCGGGACGTCAAGGAGCGCCGGCCGCCAGCGGCGCGTCATGTGATCACGGCCCGCCCACTGCCTGGTCATGTGACCGCCGTCATGTGCAGACATGGTGATCACGTGACTCACCCCTCCCCCCCAGGCGGCGGGTGGGGGTGTTTCGCTTCTCCGCTCTCCGCTCCGCACCGCGCCGCCCGGCACGTGCTGGGGGCGGCCGTTAGGCTTAACGGTCGTAGGGCAGGGCGGCCTCGCCGTGTGAGGTGCGGTCTGTCCTCCGGTGTGAGATGGGGGCGGGGTGGGGCATGAAGCGGTCCTGACTACGAAGCGCGTTGGGGGCAGCGCGTGGCTGAGTGAGACGGACGCCGTCTGGGAAAGTTAGAGAGGGTTTTAGGAGTCGTTCTCAGAACGTGCTGTGAGGGCTGGAGGGAGAGCACAGAATTATACGTCTCCAAGGATGAGGACGGAGCAGGCGGTGGCAGCCTTGTGGTGACAGAAGTATTGCTGCACCAGGAGAGCTGGCGGTGTGGCAACGAGCCCCGCCGCAGCCCCGCAGAGGGGAGGCTTGCATAAGGCTGAGAAGCAGCAGCTCTGAGAGTGGGGAGAATGGAGAAAAAAAAAAAAAAAATCACACTTGAAAGAGAGACAGCTGCCTCAGAAGTGTAAATAAGCTTTGTTTGCTGATACTGCCCAGGAGTCATTGATATAAAGAAATGCAAAAGGCCTGTTACTGAAATGGCTTCTACTTGTCCCATCTCTTGGCATCCACAGGAATAAGACAGCAGTAGAGCTCTGCTTCTGCAGCAGTTCACTTCTATTCCAGGCTGCCCTGATGTTTTTCTCCTCTTTACTCTTAAGTTACCCATTCCATTTCCATCCTTTCCAGCAGCACTTAGTGTTGTTACAGAGCACCAGCTGGCTCAAGGTGCTTGTCTGGCTGAAAACGGGCATGCCTTTTGAGCTGCTCTCCGTTTACTCACAGCTCTGTCACAGCCCGAGTCAGCTTGCTGCAGATCGGTACCAACACCAGCACAGGTTTCTGTGTGTTCCACAATAGTACCTCCCAATACAAGGGCAAATGAGCTAGAGGGGGAGGACCATGTTGGTGTGCCTCTTCATCAGCAGGAGCAACGTTTACAATGTTTACAGGAGTTTACAATGAACACAGCTAACCTAACAGTAATGTTCTCAGTTGATGGCAAGAAGAAGACCTTCCAGCTTTATGATGGAAAGAGAACTGTGATATGAAGCTGTAATCAATATCTTTGCTCAGAATCTACGAAAAATATAATGAAAAGGACTGCATAAATTCTGTTACCCTTAGCAGTTTTGTATCATTGGGAAGGATTGTAGCCAACTTCTGATGTTTTGTTTTAGTCTTCAGTTAATTCCTCAAAGTTCCAAGTCTGATTAGTCAAGGATCCCAACTGTCTGTTTTTAAGAATGTAGCCTGTATAGTTTAAAGACAATCTTGATGACATACTCAGAGGCAGAAAAAAAAAAAACAAACCAGGGAAGATAGTAGACAAAAAGAATACCAAGTCTATTATTTCTGGGGATATTTTCCTTAAATTTTGCTGCTCTGCTGTCTGTACCAACATCACTCACTAGACAGAGCAAACACGTTGCACTTAACTGTAAATTCTGTCAGTTTCCCAAGTTGGGTTAAAGATGTATTAATCAGAAAGCTCACTGCAGACAGCAGTGCAAGCAGACATACTGGGTCTTCTGATCAGATTAGCTACCTAAGTTTCTGCAAATAGAACTTCACTGCTGAAGTGATCTTTATGTATATTTAAATGCAAGTGTGACTGTGCTGAAGACAAGGATTCTATGAACATGACTACTCACATCGGTAACATTAGGAATGTGTATAAAGATCTGCAGTGTCAGGGCCTAGCAATGAATAAACGGTTCATTTCAGTTATCCAGTAAGAGTTCATTTGAAGTTGTTTAGTGATAAAATGAAGAAGCTTACAAGCAACTTACATTCTTCATTCTTCTGTGCTTTGTATGCACAGGCCCTTATGTTTGCGCAAGGCTTTGCAACCAGAGCAGTGCCACTGCATACCCAGAAAAATATGTGAAAAGGTACTGAGCAGGAAGGAAAGACATTGAAAAGGCAGTAAAAGATCCCAGTTAGGGGGAAAAAAAAATAATAATAGTACATATGCATTCATCATCCTAACTAGAAAGGAAAAAAAAAAGCAGAATAGAAATATTACTCCGATTTGAAGTACTAATGCATATGCATTCATCAACCCAGCAATGAATAAAAGTTGCAACACAACAAGGATAGCTATGAAGCTGCATAAATACTGAAATATAAGATGTGAATACAAATATCTTTAAAATAAATTTTAAAAGTAAAAGATTCTCCAGAGGTGAGAAATCTTGCGTGCAGACTCTAAGCTTGCAAACTTCAATGTTTATAATCTGGGGAGTCCAGTGGTTCTCTCCTGGTCCATGGGATTTCTCCCATGCTTAAAGCTAAATGCATACATAAGCATTTGCAGTATCTATGTCAGTCATTCATATGCCTCAAAGTATGTTCTGCAAATACAGAAAGACAGGAATGCTTCATTCAGTGTATCTTTTATAAATAACAATTTATAAAAAATATTTACCATCCATGTTAATTGATATCAGCTTCTCAGTTAATCCAATACTGTGAGACAATATTAAAATATTCTGGAATGTAATTTCATAATCTTACCTTTTCCTTCGAAGATGCTCAGTGTGATAGCTGATAGTTACACTGCACTGTATCCCAAGGATATGCTGAAGCTTCTTGGTTGTGGATGGTTTTCAGTAGGCAAGGTACGAGATGAATAAACAGGTGCTCTACCTCTAGGATTCTCTCTTGCATCTTGCGTGGTGTCAAATGTTGGAGTCATTTCATGTTCTTTTTGACACTCTTTCTTCATGTGGCCAGCACTGTATGTGGGGTATAGCCTATCTTAGAGGAAGCTTGTCTCTGTCTTGCTGTTTCTGTTCCTTTTAACACTCATATCTGATCTCTGTCTTTTCAATAAATAGGAACAAAAACTATTTGGGAATCCAAATTTGTGTTTATGTTTGATTTTGGGAAGTTCTCTCTCCAGTGAGAGACAGTTTATTTCCATCTGTCTGTATAATAAAATAATTATTTCTATACTTTGTGAAAAGTCTTCATAAGGCCCTTCTGTGGAGCCATGCTGTTCTTCAGAAAGCATAGTAGCACCTGCGTTGTTCTCCATTCCTTTTTTCTTGCTTTCTATGTCTAGAGTCCTAATCTCATACCATTGTCATTATTTCTCATTTCTCCTTATTCTTTTTTTGCTGCTCTCTCCATCTTTCACCACCTCTCTAATTCTTTCTACTCATTCTCTTTCCTTTTCTGCTCCACTTCTACTCTTAACTGTTTTTCTCTAGCACTTTTCTAATGCAAGCGTTTGATGAGAGTTACCTCCCAAGTTCTTATGACAAGCTTGCCTACTTTATAGCAATTTGAAGTACACTGTTGAGACAAAAACAGTGTTTGATGACCTTGTTTTGCAGACATAGGTTTAGGCTTCCCTATGCAGCTACAAAGATAATGACATTTTCCTAATCTAGCTGATATTGTTCAGTGAAGCTGTGAAAGAATATCAGACATAAACATATTGACTTCTTTCGAAATCTCTGTTTTGCTGGGCAAGTTCTTACACTGTGTACTCAGCATGTGCTCTGAAAAGGGCTCTGTTTTGTGCTGTGTCCTAGAAGATAGCTCTTGTCAAGGACATTCTTGAGTCACAGCCTGCTCAAGTCCAGCAGCTTCTCTGTATTCCTCTCTCTCTTTTTGCTTCTTTGATCTAGCTTTCAAGGAACATGGTTCTTGACTGTTTGTGCTCGGGCCAGAACTCCACATTTTATTATGATAAAGGGTTTGAATTACCACCTACTTTTGTGGTACTCAGTGAAATTTCACTCTCACACATCTTTTTAGTCAAAGGAATTATGAGACGATTTCTTTGCTAATCCTCTTCCGTCTGAAGCACCTACTAGACATTTAAGGTAAATGATTTAACCTCAAAGTGCCTTACCAAGACAATAAATGTAGTGTGAAAGACTGTTCCATGTTTTAAACCTGATTACTCAGTCTTGTGTTTTAGCTTCAGGACACTTTGACATCATTGGGTTTCTTCACACTTTGGTCTGTTCTTCTCCCACAGGCTCTTGTCTCTGTGTTCTCCTGACAGTCATTTCTGAGCTAACCATCATCTTTTTGTTCTGTGAGCTATGCTGGTACTGAACAGGCTCGCAACACTAACCTGCTCTTGCTGAACTCGTTCTGCTCTCAGAGCACATCATGTCAAATCTAAGCGTGGTGTGGTAGCAAACAGCCTCCATTTGCGAGGCATGCATGGGAATGCAAAATGCCCCAAAATGTGTTTGTTATTTCTGAATTATTATCCTCTATCCCCCTCCTGACTTATATTACGATTCATGAGGTTATTCTTCTTATCTGTTGTTGTTAACCATGTACTCCAAATACATCACCAACTCTTTTCAAATATGATAATTTATCATGTTGTGCTCTCCAGTTACATGATTTTTCCCTTCACTTTTCTGCTTCTGTAGATAAAGTGTTGCTCCTTCGTGCATGTGGGACCTCATCCCAGTACAGTTATCTCAGTGTAAGTTGCAGCTCTGCACAAAAGGATGTGATAACAGGAAAAAGTAACCTCTTGCACCAACTACTACAGTACCTAGGATTTACTTCTGAACTGCCCCAAACCTGTCATGTTTTATCTGCTATGAGTGATGTAAGCTAGTAGAAGACTTTGTCATGACAGAAACTTAAAGGTGTCTGTTGCAAACCTAAAGTAAATAAATGAAACTTCTTACATCTGGAAGACATACTACCCCATGGTTTCATACTTCTATCCTGAGATAACAGCAGAGATAATAAGCAACTTTCATTTTTCTAATTCAGTAATTATGTCGTCTAATTCATTAGGACTATATTACAATAAGTTGTCACATGTTCCATCTTGTTTGTCATGAAGTAGCTGATAAATTTGTGTTTTGCTTCATTTTTCTTGGCTCCATGTGTTGTGACTTTTTTCACTTGTAATAGAAGGAGACTAAAATGAAAATGCCGTCTCCATCATAACACCTAAGAATTTACAGACTTTATACATAGCAGAGAAATAACAAAATTGATTTTCTTTAAGCATCAAAACGCAACCTACATTTTGTTTCTTCATGTTTGTCCCAGGGGAAAGAAGCTATGCAAGACATTTCTTGCATAACGTGCTATTTGTAGAGGACTAAAATATGTTGTATAATTTGTTCAGTTGATTCTTTTATCACCCTGTCTTTCTAGGTTATATTTATATATTAGATCTATATATACACATTTGTTTTCATAGCCACATTCATAAATATGCCCATGATTATGATAAATGTTTTGTAGATGTGCATTTTATTTTTGTTACATTTGTTAGTATTGTGAAATATCTGAAAGAGAAGAATAATAAATAAGGCTACATCTAAACTCATTTAAAAGTAAAGTACCAATCTATTTTTTTAATCATCAGCACCACGTTTCCCTGTATGTTTTATATGCATAGGTTGCTGAGGTAAACAGAATAGAAAAAATTAAATGCCAGTGGCAGTGTATATATGAAGACACAGTTAAGCCATTATATGATTAATGTCAGATAACAATATTGTATAAATGATTCAATCAATTTTATAAATGATTCACTTTAGGTTATAATAGTAGATTACACGCGTGGATTGCAAGACAAGAAAGACACATCCAAACTGAAACATTAATCTGAATCTGTAATATCTCCACCTAAGTCAGTGGAATTAATCTGATTTCCGTTACCTTTTTTCTTCAGTCAGAACCTGATCCAAGAGTAACAGGGCCAGAACACGTCAATATTACAGTAAATATGCTGAGAAATATCATCACTTGCAGATGGAATGGCAACAAGTGTCTGATGGTTTTTGTTTGTTTGTTTGTTTTTGGTTTGGTTTGGTTTGGGTGTTTTGTTTGGTTTTTTTTTTTGCATTTTCTCAATTACCGTCATGAGAGCTAAAGATATGGTTATGGGGAAGGAAATCTTAATGGGCATTTCTACTGAACTGAATAAAAAACTATGTGGAAAATTTAGCAGTGCTAAACATTGATATTTCCAATAATTTCCTCAGCAGTTGAAATAAAGTAATATTAGAAAATTCTGTGTATGTTCTCTTCCAGAGTAGCATAGATGGTTTGTGCCACACAAAAGAAAAAACAGTTTTCTCTGTATATTTTCACATTGCTTTGATTTGCACTTGAGCTTTACAGCATGTGCTATGAAGCAAGCTTTCTGCCACTTGTCTTTTGAAGCCTTCAGTAAAACAACTCAGAGAGATTCTCTACAGCTTTTCTTGTTGCTCCACAAAAAGTAAAGAATGAGGAAACTGACACTATGTTTGACAAAGAACAGCAGTATGGAAAGCTTATTAAATCCTTCTGGAGGTGTTTTGTTATTGTAATGCTGCAGGAAAACACAATCCCAAGAGTGTGGCCAAGATGAGGACAGTAACAGCTGCAGTCTGTCTGAGTCAGTGGGGTGGGGTGCATCCAACCTCTGCGGAATTGTACAGTCTTATGCTAAGCATTGAACTAGGGGAAATCTGAGTGGAATACACAGTAGGAAACTGAGGATGGATAGAAAGCTGAGAGACGCACAGTACATGTTTTGCTGTAACTACCCACAGACTTAAGGGCACAGTGGTTTAGGCTTTCAGTTTTCGCTGTAGTGATTCAACTAGGGCAAACCTGCAGGGTTGAATGGTCCTTTGAGAAGTAGTCTCACATTCAGACTGGGAAAAGTAGAGATAAACATTTCTGAACACTGCAGGCTGCTAAGAAACACAGGCCAGTGTTGTGCTCGAAAAGATACGTGCTAATGGATAAATTAACCAAAGAGCTCATAATAAATAATATAGTTGGCAGGGCTATGTTTACAGAGGACCTCAGCCATAGCAAAGTTAGCAATAGAAACATTGTTCATTGCTCAGAAGCTGGTCTGACTGGCTTAGCCTGTCCCATGGCTACAGCACAGTTACATTTCCAACCAAGTACAGGGAAAAAAATATCAGACAAAACAAAAGTTGCTGGCTGTACATACTTGCTTTCACAAAAATCATTTCCCTTTGCTGTGGTATGTAATTGAATATCTTTAATGAGCTCACAGTTTGTATTCATTTGGCAATCTTCACTTGTAATAGAGATCTTTTTTTTTGCTAAAAGCAATACAGCAAGATAAGTTACATCTATCAAG